ATTCCATACCCTGCATATGGAAGAGAAAAGTCAATATAAACAGCTGAATCTTGAATTCTACAATGCTTTATAATAAGCTGAAAATTAGATCCTGTTTACCTTTTGCAAGATGAACATGCGAACAAAGTAGAAAAGGACGGCAGACATGACGCCGGACAGCAAAGGCGAGAGGAACCATGAAGCAACTGTAAGGAAAGAAAGAACAATGAAATAGAAGTAATCAAACAAATGTTTCTTGACAACAATATTAATCATACGAGCACAACAACAAATGGATAGTGCTTGTGAATGCTGCTGACTCACTAATTCTGAGAAGCTCCAGCCATTTGACTCCCTGCTGACCTTTAGCAACCAGCGAGAAGCCTATAGTAGCTCCAACGATGCAGTGGGTCCCAGAAATAGGTAGTTTCAGAAAAGAAGCAGCCAACTGCCATACAGCAGAGCCTGATATGCAGTAGAAAAATTGAGAGTTTAAAAGAAGAAACCACAAGTATTCCAAATAAAAAACAAGTATTACTACATAATAGGGTTGCACGGTATACCGGTACTATGGTAGAATTGTGATACTATGGCTCCAATATACTGGCAGCGCAAATGTAGTTTGTAAAAGGAAGTATCGTCATTAACAGTCTATTAAATACATAATGTTGCATGTGGGAAAATTCACTAACATGCTCATACACTTGTGCAACAATAGACCATTTTCTTTGAATTATTTAAATTGAACACTTCATATTGCCTAATTTGCAACAAATTTTATTTGGTATAATTTGTATCTTGATTTTAATGTAGTTTTGTTGGTCAGTTATCAACAAAATGAACAAAAAGAACTAATGGATTTTAGGTGAAGCGATGTGCAAATACTTGTTTCAATATTAAGGGAACTATGAATTCAATTGAAGTAGGCCTATAAGGACTTATAAAACAGTATTTCTGACAATTCTCTTTATTTCATTGGTTTGAGTTATAGTATTGCAATACTACTTGGTATCCCGATACTTCAGCTGGTACAGTATCGTAATGGGAATGGTATCGCGACAACCCTACTACATAACACACAAGAACTAAGCTTCATAAGTTACTTACCAAACATAGCGCTGACCGAGCCAGCCATCAACACATGTTCATAATCGTTGTACATGGTCACGTCGATAATGCCTTTGCGGATGGTCTCGCTGACCTTGGCTCCAAGCAGCACAGAGCCCAGAGTCTCAAAGATAGAAGCAAGAATACAGGCCTGCCTAAGGGTAACTACACCTGAGCCTACTGCCGTACCGAATGAGTTGGCAACGTCATTAGCGCCCACTGAAAAGGCCAAGACAAATGCTATGATGAAGCCTACGATCAGGAGCCACATATAGGCTGTCAGATGCCCTGTAGTATACCCGACGAGGGTGCTCATAATTGTTATCGTGGCAAGAGTTGTTGACACCATTGTGCGCAGATGGTTTTTCAAGTTTCAAGCAAAAAAAATAATTACTTCACAATCTTACAGGGAAGAGAACCAAAAATGTATAAATAATTCAAGCAGCAGCACACTGGATATTTTATCCCCAGCTAATTGAGGTACTATTGTTTCTAAATCCGTTTTCTGCCTCAGACCTACCTTCGCCCTTTGCTAAACCAGCAAAATCAAAGCAATCCAGACACTAGAGAGAGAATCTGCACTGCCCTGCTCTAAACTGATGTGTATCGTAAAGGGAGAGGGTGGAGTGAGGGCCTATTGCTATCCCCTAAATAGGCTAGATCTGTTACGGTTTGTTTTGGCTTGGACAATTAAGCAGATACAGCGGACATCCATTGTGCAACAGACACGATGGGTGAATGGTAGCTCATTCCTGAAAAAAAAAGAGAAGAGAAATTGGTAAGGTTCCCGCATTATGCAACAATTTCACTGCAGAGAGGCCAGAACTTGGACATAAGTTCACCATTGCACAGTATTAGCAGTACTTTATTTGCCAGAGAGGGGAGCTGAAGGTCTCTAGAAAAGTCGCTACAAAAGGGGGCGCATCGAGAACAGACAAGATCAATGGACTCTTAAAAAATACATCTATACCACATATGGCAACTGCCTATGCATGAATCGATGTGCTTTAAGGCAACACAAGACATCTAACCTTACACTACAAAAACGCGAGATTAAATAAATCCTGACCACTTTGTTTTACAAGCTCGAGAAGGCACTTTGATAAATATTTTAGGCTCTGACAACAAACAGTATTCAAATTAAGCTGCCAGCGCGGCCGAATCATGTGGCTTTCCAGCACATTCCTGCAATGCAGCTTTTATTGGCAAAGAAAACGCAGAATCAAATGATGAAATGCGGTCGACTGTCACTATAGGGCTGTTTAAGCCAGTTCTCCCCGCTAGCGCGAGACACGCACTTCCTTGCTAACGTTAGCTTGAGGAACCAAGCCTCTCAAAATACACCATTTTAAATAGTTAACGACTGGATGCTTTAAATATGAAAAATCTAAAATTCTACACCATATACAAATACATATACATTTCATAACGCTTTTACATGTTCACAATATGTTATTCTTGGTTTATACTCACACCGGCTTCACACTACACGTGTCGTCATTCATTGACACCCGCTAACAGCTAAAATGACGTAAAAATGTTTAGTACTTTATTAAAAACACCAAAACTAACCACGAACGAAAAAATATTACACACAAAACAGGATACATCACTGGCACTGTGTAATTAACTAATAGTAACGAGTCTTGTGTATTTTTTGCAGGTTAGACCGCGACGAGTCAGCTGACAAAGCCACGAGCTCGCGCTCATTCCAACCGCTCTCAATGATTTAAATGTCGACGAGAAAGTACGATAAATATCACTCAATACACATTACAATTATAATAAAATAAATTTTACTCACCACTCAAAGAAATTTGTCGATAAATGTCGATTTAGATATTTTGACAGAGTAGCCCGCCCAGTCAACTTCCCGGAGAGGCTTTCCGCGCGCGCGGGTTAAGACACTAAATTCTCTCGCTTTTACTTAAACACTAACGTCGAATAAATTAAACAAATCCAGAGATCAAGACCACAAACAAGACACCTATAATTGTTTCAAGTTCTCGAATAAATGAAAAAAATCGCAATAAACCGCTTTCAGCCGGCTTCAGACGATGAGTTCCTGCTTGTCCACGCAAGACATATATCATCCGAATAGGAGGGCGGGACCGCTTAGGTTGCACTGTTGACGTCAAGCAATACACCACGCCCTTGTGCCTTATTTGGTCATGTCCGCGACAAAAAAAACTATTTACTTAACCTTAAACTCCATTACTACTACTCTGTAAATATGTAATCTAGAAACGATTATTTTCTAGAAGATTATTTTCTACTATTTTAACTGTAAAATTATACATTTTATTCAACTATATACATTTTATATTCATATGCAGTTTTTATTTTACTCAGTACTTGTTTTTATAGAATAAAGTTGTGAAATACAGAACATTACTTCTGAAGCAACAAAAATACTTAATTTATCACATTAAAGGTAATAAACACGTTCATAAAGTAGATGTATGCAATAATGTTTTTTTAAACAATCAGACTTGCATTATGTCTCTTTTTACAGCCTATGATGGTAACAACTGCATAAATGAACAACATAAAAGGAATACGGGGGAAGCTTTAAATAGTTTGTTGAAAAACATTGTGCTTTGCATGTTATGCTAAAAATGTAACAATTAACAAATAAATAGCTATTTATTTATTATTGCACATAATTTCTGCTAAAATACTTTATGTGCCTGTGAATAGGAGGGAAAAAAGTACAGAGAACACATTCCAGTCTCATTTGGTTTGGTACCAATTGGATTCATGGATACATGTATTATTATGTGTATGCCTACATATAGATGTTATATTTAACACAAACATATATATTATTTACTTACAGATTAAAGAAATGCTTATTTGTTTATAAATAGTTGTAAAAGCACTAAGATTGTTGATTAATAGTCATGTATTCAATACCAAAGGCGTTTCCTTTGGTTGCAGGCCCAGTGATTCTCATTTTTGCCCATTCCTGTGGTGCGTTATCGGAATTAAAGTCATGGGATGAAGTTTGTGAATGTGATGTTTCTTTTACTGCATTTTATGCTACAGCTCCCTCATGTGGTTCTACAAAAAAGACCTTAAACTGTAGGCAAGCTTTTCTTTTTCTTTTCTGATCCAGGAACAAAGAACATTTATTGATTATGTAGTGATCTTTAAATGGTGCTTGAATGGTGGATAGATAGATAGATAGATAGATAGATAGATAGATAGATAGATAGATAGATAGATAGATAGATAGATAGATAGATAGATAGATAGATAGATAGATAGATAGATAGATAGATATAGATTATAACAAATAACACAGTTCTGTAGTTTTCTATGATATATGAATACTATAATGTAATAATACCACTGTTTACTGTTGTAAATCCTAAAGTATATTACAGAATTTATTAATACCAATTTACTAAGGTCTTTAGCTAATACTACAGTATTCTGGAGCATTCATTAACAAAAAAAACTGTTGTACTATAATTACTTTACTTTAGAATGGTTCAAAAGCAATTACTATACATTACTTTAGTGTTTTATTTGTGGGTATACATCATTTAAAAAAGATTATTAAATAGTTTATGACCAAATTATTAACCAAAGAAGATCGTTTAAAAAACTGCTAGCCGCTAGAGTGAATGTGTACTCGGTTCGTCAAGTCATTTTATCGCAACACCAAAGAGCATACAAGTGTAAGTTCTTTGGTTACAACACGAACCAGGCACGTGGTAAAAGCTGTTTAACCTTTTAGTTGTAGAGGACCTTTACCACGGGTTGACTTGAGGAGGGTTATGTGAACTTGCTGGCTGATGTGGGATGGAAATTAAAGATGACAAACAGCTCTTTCACCCTATCAGAATGAACGGCGCATCACTCACATCAGAGACATCCAATGGGGACTCGGAAAACGGAAATGGGCGTGGAAAACAGGCGTGTTCGTCATGCGACTTACGCTCCACTAGAAAGATGTGAGGGCATGAAGCTAACGCACGAGGATAAAAGTAAGATAAATGTAACGTTAGGAATACAAAAATCAGTGTATCTATTATAAAATATCAGGTTTGACACGTGGTTGAAAACATTAGTGTTGTTAGCGTTGATTTACATACAGTTTGCTCGCGGTCGCATGTCATAAAAGATAGGCTAGCTAGGTTAGTCAGTAGATCTGTTATTCGTTTACGTCAAGCTGTTTATGTAGAAGATGACTACTAAATCGCCTTATAACATGAGCCGGCAATACGTAAAGTGATATTATTCAGCCTATTATTCAGTCCATATGCGTCGCAGCTGTTCATCAAAACCTGTCGTGTCATATTTTGCAAGATAACAGCTAGTGCATGTCAACTTGACATTGGGTTGCACTTGTTTATGGGTCCAGTTACCACATGGGAATTGATCTGTATAACAAAGCGTTGTTTTAGGCTAATTTGAGGCCCTTTAAAGTGCTTTTCAACGTCTAATCTAGATATCATCGATCCTTGGGTCTAGAAAAAAATGTTCCCTTCCGTCCAGCATCGCCCAGTGTGCAGCATAGGGGCAAGAGCTGTCCGACTGCAAAGTATAAGCAGTTTTAGTAATAGTGGTGCAAAAAGTAGTAAATCGTTTAGGTTTTCGTGGCTGGGTGAGCGCGTCGGCCTGCTGATGTCATGGCTTCAGAAAGCAGGAAGGGGAACCAACAAACTGGCCTCCGACAACAAGAAGGAGAAACTATTGTCTATATTCGCAAACCATTGTAGTTTTGTAACAGGCCAGAGGCTTAGAAGGGCCTTTCAGATAGGAGAGCTGTACTCAAACCTGTACTCTGAGAGAACCAGGTGGACACTCGTGGGCAGCATATGGCGGCGCCTGCAAAGCAAACACGCCCCTACTGGAAAACTCGTCGCGGCTCTGGCTGGAGTCTTCATGTGGGAAGACGAGAAGATTCGAGATGATGAGTTGAGAAGGTAATAACCCCCTCTCCTCTGGGATGTTTTATACCTCTTGAATGTTATATGGGATGATGTGTGTCCCTTTTTGCAACACAATAGATACTGTTTCTTTCTATCATGTTTCTAAAGTGTCTTTGACACTAAATGTAGCATTTATGAGCAAATGCGGCAGATGAGAGAACCACCTATTTAGTAACCAACGGGAAACGCACTCTAGCTGTCAGAATCTTAATTCAAAATTCCATCTGGACTTTATTTGAGCTTCTTTTCTATTATCCGTCAGTTTTTCTGTCTCTAGATAAGCTCCCAAAAGTAGCCTGCACTAAAATGTTAGTTCAGCCAAATTAAAAATAAAAATAATGATTACTCACCCTCATGTCAATCCAAACCATTTGAAAGAGTTAATTCATCTTCAGAACTCAAATATTTTGGGTGAAATCTGAGAGCTCCCTCATCCTCCATATACAGCAAGATTCCTGAATTCTTCAATGTCGATGACAATGGCAAAAAATATTTTAAAGAGTTTAGAAAAATATTATAATTCAAACAGCCCTTATGCCTTTATTGGTTTAATCAGAATATTATCAAGCAACGAGGAAACTTCTTTATGCCCAAAAAAAGTGACTTCATTCAACAGCCTTTTTTCCCTCAGTGTCAGTATAGAATGCGCTTTCACAAAATCGCTGTATGTTCATGTATATTTTGGATGGCCTTTGAAAGAGTCTGGAATTTGGATTTTATCTTAAATTTCTTAATTGTGTTGTGAAGATGATCAAGGGAGTTGGGGTTGGACATAGGGGCGTTGGGGCATTTTTTGGTTAACCAACCATGCCAGAAAATGCTAGCATTCATATCAGCGAGGTAAACATGCTATCAGTATTTTACAACAAGCTATATTCCTCTTAACACTTACTAGCAATGTTTAAAAAAACATTAGCAGCATACGTAACATTTTAAAATCTAGCTAGCAGTGAGTTAAAACATGTCACCAATGTGCTAATACTAACTGACAATTCTAGCACTTTCAAGATATTTGCAACACGTTGAAACATGTTGGTGTTTCTAATCAAGAAATCCATCTATTAGTTTCTTTCTTTGTCTGATAAACTACATAGGCCTATTATTTATACAGTAACTTTAAATGATCTTGCCAAACTTTCATAAGCCAAAATCAGAGTTCAGAACTTTTTTCTAAATATAGATATTTACTGATACATCTAAATAAGATGTTTTCTTCATTCGTTTTGTTATGTTATGCATTAAGCAGCTTGTAATGTCTTTAGGTGTGCATGGGAGCTTCAGGCAGTGGAGTCGGTGAGGAGTCAGGATGTGAGCCCGAAGGTGGCTACACATGTGGATCAGGGCTGGGAGGTGGTCATGGAGAAGAAAAATTTCAGAGTATGGCGGAGACCAGTCGAGGGCAGTCATCTTTTTGAATACAGAGGTCTGTCCTAAATAGTGAAATGACATGTTATTGTGTCATTTAATTTGTAAAATACACATTGAAAAATCATCAAAATTATTTTTGTCAAATCTTTAGAACTGTAATTTAACAGCTTGAATGGTCATTGTTTTACAGTGTTTGGTTCCTATACAGACGTCACCCCTCGGCAGTTCTTCAATGTACAGGTATTGAAGTAAAATGTCTTGACTGTGCACTTCCAGTTTCCATCCATAGCTTTATGCATTTCAGATGTAACCTGCCCTGATCTTCATTTATCAGTGCTGATGATGATACATCTTGGCATGTGCTTGTGGTTGCTATCTGCTTGTGGTATTTAGATGTTATATTTAGACTCTCTCAAATGTTTCCCTTCACTCCAGTTGGACACTGAGTACAGGAAGAAGTGGGATGCACTGGTTATCAGGCTGGACGTGGTGGACCGGGACGTCAACACAGGCACTGAGGTCGTTCACTGGGCTACACATTTTCCAGTAAGCTCTGAATGATATTTTCCATTACGTTCTGTCATAATTAGGGAATAGTGTGATATTTATAGTCTATCATAGTATCATTATTGTTGTTTTTACATTGTGCAAGCTGGTATTACCGAGTACCGAATTACTGGCTCATTAAACTTATAAGAAAGACCTTATAATTAAAGTTAGAAAAGCAGAAAACATCTTTCTGTATCACTTTTAAATGTTATTCATTTATTGGCAATATAAACATTTTTAAGTTTATACATTTAAAGATAGACTGTGCTGTTTTCCTGGTTTTCAGCACGTGAGCACAAAGGATTTTATTAAACTAATTAAACAAATAAGCAGTTGTCATTTTGAGTAAGTCGCATTTTCATGATAATATTTGAGTATGTGCGACGAACAATCATCCACGTCCAAAAAAACAAACAAAAATAAGATAACCATGTTACATTAATTCTATGTGTGAACTTTGTATAGAGAAACAGTTTAGGGGTATTTTTGAGATACCAAGAGTTTAAAATAGCGTCACATCAAAATACTATTTATGTCCACTAAGACAAATAGAGATGCAGTATGCTGTCATGTCGGCTTAGGACATTTAAAGGCCAACTTGAACAAATGGAAGTACAGAGTAAGGAAGGCTTTGGGGATTCTGGGAAAGTATATTTGAATCAAAAGAGGACAACAAAAACCAGGAAAAAAAGCCACTGAAAGAGGTGAGCTTTTCTAAACAAACAAACAATATTTAGCAATGATGTATGTCTGTATTTTATGTATTTGTTTTTTTTTATTATTAATAATTGATTCTTATTGCTTGTAAAAGTCTGAGCATTGTACATTGTTCATACTGTATTTTCAGTTTTTTAATAATGATATTAATAATAATAACCTCAAAAGAAATGCTTCATATTAACCTGAAGTTTCTGTTGCTTTGTTAAAACTAAGATAAAGGAATCAGATCTTTAAAATTGGAGTTACACTGTTATTCAACACTAACTGGACATGCAGCGTTTTTCCACATTTGAGACATATTAATATTTAATATAAATCAAGTATAATAAAAATATATAATAAAATGTTTATAATCCAAATTAAAAAATCTTATTTCTTAAAATTTGTTAAAATATGGACTTGTATGGTTTTTCATCTCAAGGCCTCACTTATCTTTGCTTTGCGCACAAAAATTAGTACCAGTCAAAGCTGGAGCAGAATGTTTGCGCATCTCAGAGCAGTATTGCCATGTTTTGTTTCTGAATGAATCTGGGCTGAGATGAATTAACTTGAGCGTAATCTACTACTAGTTGACAGAAGATTTACAAGCCTTTAAGCTTAATCTTCTTTCTGTCATGGTTCATCAATCTGTTCTGGGTTCATTCAAATTGTCTACCAATTGCTTGACATGGATGCCTGGATGAAAAAATCATTATAGGTTGATCAACCTAAATGTTTAGTTCACCCAAAAATAAAAATACCGTCATCATTATGAGTTTCTTTATTTGTTGAACACAAAAGATATTTTGAAAAAAAAACTGGAAACCTGTAAAGATTGACTCTCACAGAATGTTTTTCCTACTATGGAAGTCAATGCTTACAGGATTCCAGCTTTCTTAAAAATATTCTGTTTTGTGATCAACCGAATAAAGAAACAAGTATAGGGTGAGTAAATTAAAATGTTTGGGTGAACAAAGTGTGCAAACTAGTAGCTTTAAAGACCTTATGTAAGCATGCAAATGAAGTGGTTTAAGAAAAGGTTTACATAAAATGGTACTTCTGTGCAAATATTAGCATGAAATGAAATGACTGAAGTTCAGCAGAGTCAAAGTTCATTAATCATCCTAACTTTGGTGTTTGGGTTTGATAAGTTTAATTCATTTTATTCTGTTTGAATCATAAATATTTTTTATCAATTCACTTGACTATTCTATTTATATATATATATATATATTTATATATATATATATATATATATATATATATATATATATATATATATATATATATATATATATATATATATATATATATATATATAATAGATCAAATATTTAAGCAGTAACATTGAATTATTAGTAAATTAAAGAATATCTATTTTATATTTGGATATAGCTCTTATTGTGAATTGAATTTAGCATTATTACTTCAGTCTTTAACGTCACATAAATCTTTAGAAATCATTTAAATATGTTATTTTGCTGCAAAAGGAATAAATCTCTTCAATATCAGTGTTGAAAACAGTTGTTACTTAATGTGTAAATTACCATGAATTATTATAAAGCACTATTGTAAAGCATTTATTAAAATTATAAGTCATTTACAATAAGGGTGCCCAATCTCAGTGCTGAAGGGCTGGTGTCCTGCGAACTTTAGTTCCAACCCCAGTCAGACTCACCTGGGCTAGCTAATCAAGCTCTAAAGCTGCGGCCACACTGGACTTTTCGTCCCGTAGACTTTCATTCATATGCACATGAATGCATCAGACCGCAAACACAGGCTCGTGTGACAAGTTTCACAGTTGGCTGCGTTGCAAAGTTCAAGCTTGGAGAACTCTGACCTGCAAAATCACATAAAGTGACTTTTAGAGACAAATCGAAGATCAAAACATGACCTCTCTAGACAGCAATGTAAAATATGGACCAATCGTTCACTTTTTTAAATGTCTAATCATCTTTGTTTAATCCCGCCCCTTTTCACAGCACCGTACGACAGAATTTCGCACATTCAATGTCTAGTGTGATCGCCTCATAACTAGGTATTGAGGCAAGTTCGAGCTAAAATCTGCAGCACACCGGCCCTCCAGGACCGAGTTTGGGCACCCCTGATTTACAATATTGTAACGTTAGAAATGTCCTTACTGTCACTTTTAATCATTTTATGTGCCCTTGTTGATTAAAAGTTAAATTTATACTTTAATATTACCTCAAAGTTTACTCTTGAGTGTAAAGTGTATGACATGTGACCAATAAGCTCCCATAATCAAACGAAACAGATATAAATAATAAAAGTTCAAGGGACTATGAGGGTTCAAATTAGTGTCTTTTTTGAAGGTAACGCTAGGAATGTGGATATTTGAGTTTCCAGTAACATATGAAATACATTAGTCATCAAGTTTTCCGTTTAATTCCGCATGTCTGTTAATGTGTACACTTTTGTTGAATCACAGGTATGTCCTAATTATGCTGACCTTTTCTGTCTAGTATCCTATGTACTCCAGGGATTATGTCTATGTGCGTCGATATCAAGTCGACCTAGAGAACAACTTGATGATCTTAGTCTCAAGGTAAGTGCTGTTGCCAGTTTGTTGTTCACTATTTGTTTATAAGCATGTTGTCTGGTTTTGGTATTTCCCTTATATTAATGTGGTGGTCAGTCAGCTTTGTGTTTATAATGTGCACTGTAATGTGTGTTTAGTTTTATAAGTTATTTATTTATTTTTAAATCATTACTTTTTACTTTATTTTACACCATTGGTTTTTATTCTCTTAAAAGCAGTCTGTTGACTTCCTTGTACAGTGAAGCCCTTTCCTCAGAATTACACAATGGGTTTTCATTAGTCAGCTGGCTCTCTGTGTTGTGATTGGCCAATTACCTAGTGCATCATGCCTAGGCTTGGGGTTTATGTAAATTTTATGGGTGATGTCACAAATCCAGGAAGTAGCTCCTTACTGGCTTCATTGCACATTTTACAGAAACATTACTGTCTAATGTTAAAAAAGTGAATTCACAGACCTCTTTAAATGTGCTTTGCTCTCCACTCAGAGCTGTGAAACACCCCTGTGTCCCGGAGACCCAGGAGTTTGTCCGAGTGCATTCATACCAGTCAAAGATGGTCATCCGGCCACACCGCTCATTTGATGAGGTGAGAGCTGGGAATCTCCTGTGGGTTGTTCTGTCTGCGGTTAGTCTGAGTATACATACTTAAGCTAGTTATCTTGTCTTAACAGAATGGCTTTGACTACCTGCTGACTTACAGCGATGACCCCCAGACAGTCTTCCCTCGCTACTGTGTCAGCTGGATGGTGTCCAGTGGTAAGCCATCCGTTATACACTCTATCTTTCTGTCGTGTGCCCCAATTATTAAGAGTTTTTTTTTTCAATGGGCTGTATGAAGGGTTAAAAATAAAAAAAATTGCCACACATTAAAGAATTGATTGGGAATTATTGAGCATTTATAAATATTCTTACTAATCATGCACATTTGAATTTTAACATTTTTTGAAGAATATGCTCAAAGATTTAGGGTTGATATAAATATTTGTGCCTTTTTTTGTTTGATTTAGATATTCTGGTTCATACACACTCACTGGCCACTTTATGCTGTACACCTTACTAGTTCTAGGTTGGACCCCCGGGTTATTTTCAGAACTGCTTTAATCTTTTGTGGCATATATTTGACAAGGTGCTAAAAATATTCCTCAGAGATTTTGGTCCATTTTGACATGATAGCATCATGCAGTTTCTGCTGATTTGTCGGCTGCACATCCATGATGCCAATCTCCCATTCCACCACATCCCAAATGTGCTCTATTGGATTGAGCTCTGGTGACTGTGGAAGCCATTTGAGTACAGTGAACTCATTGTCATGTTCAAGAATCCAGTCTGAGATGATTCACGCTTTGACATGGCACGTTATCCTGCTGGAAGTAGCCATCAGAAGATGGGTACACTGTGGTTAAAGAGATAGACTTGGTTCGCAACAATACTCAGGCAGGCTGTGGCATTGACATCATGCTCAGTTGGTACTAATGGGCCCAAAGTGTGCCAAGACAATATCCCCCACACCATTACACCACTAACCCAAACCGCTGATACGAGGCAGGATAGATCCATGCTTTTAAGTTGTTGATGCCAAATTCTCACCCAATCATCCAAATGTTGCAGCAGATGTCGAGAATCTTCTATTGTCCAATTTTGGTGAGCCTGTGTGAATTGTAGCCTCGGTTTCCTGTTCTTAGCTGGCAGGAGTGGCACCCGGTGTGGTCTTCTGCTGCTGTAGCTCATCTGCTTTAAGGTTGGACGTGTTGTACACTCAGAAATGCTTTGCTGCATACCTCTGTTATACAGTAACATAGTTACTGTTGCCTTTCTCTCAGCTCAAACCAGGCTGGCCATTCTACTCTGACCTCTGGCATCAAAAGGGATTTGCGCTGACAGAACTGGATTTTTTTTCATTTTTTCAGACCATTCTCGGTAAAATCTAGAATTGGTCAGTAGTTTCTGAAGTACCCAGACCAGCAACAACCATGCCACGTTTAAAGTCACCTAAATCCCCTTTCTTCCTTATTCTGCTGCTCGGTCGGATAGGTGTACCTAGTAAAGTGGCCATTGAATATATTTTTTTTGTTTTGTTTTTTTAGATTTTTAGTAAAGAAATAAACTGCACTGACACTGAGGTGCTCACGGTGACCCTATTCAAGTCTCAAGGTCATTTGCTGATCATTTCCCTCTCTCTTTGCTCCCCACACCTTCCTGTCCCAACTGTACTCTGTTCTATTAAAAAAAGGTTAAAAACCCTTTTAAAAATTGAATATGTGCATGTTTACAAAAAATAATATTCACTTTTCAAAGAAATGTAGTGTTTTTGTTGTGATTTCATTAGTTTTGGTGTTTTTTTTTTTTTAAACCAAAGGTTACACGCGCACACACACACACACACATATATATTTATATTTATATATATTACTATTTACTATATAGAATAAAAAGGTTGGCCTCACTAAGTCATTCTTAATTGGTCTGTCATTGTTACTGAATGTAACGGTAATATCTCAGTGTTGAATTTCACAGTTGTAATCATGATAGTTGTCCTTGAAATCTGCCCTTTCTGCAGCTGCTTTTTCATGACACCTGTTCACTTCCATTTCACCCCCCACCCCTCTCTCTCTCTCTCTCCCACAGGCATGCCAGATTTCCTGGAGAAGCTTCACACTGCTGCTCTCAGAGCTAAAAACATGGACGTCAGTGTGCACGACTATGTCAATGTTGTAAAACCTTCTCAACCCTCCCAAGAACAACGACTAGGAGCTGAAAACACTCACACTGCAGGCTCAAGTCAGATCTACGCCTGAGCTAAAATGGCCCACAACAGGACAGTTTTGCTTACCGGGTCATTATTTGTAGCCACAAAGAAATCAGAAGCATTTATTCCCGAGGTTTCATCATTGCCATATGAACGTTCCTGCAGTAGCTGTCATACCGCACGCTCACATCTTTTATTTTTGTGCTGTTAGTTTGCTTCCTCTTTCTGTAGAGGGCATCTAAGCTAAACTGCTGAGATGAGCCAAAATATTGCCGTTTATTAATTGCAGATTCTCCTGCCAAAGCAGTATTTCACTCTCATTTCTTTACATCATCAGAATCGATTGTGCAAACGCCCTTCCAGCTTCAAGTTCAGGAAGTTGTTTGCAGTTTAAACTGTGATGAACTGCTCCTCATTTACCGTGTGAATGTTCACTGCCAGCAAAAAGCCAAGCAGCCTTCACAGGATCACAGAAAAACCTCTTCTGGAAATGAGAGAGAGGTTAGTCTTACGCCAACCGCAACATCCTCACCAACAGGCTCAGCTTGCGTTTTATAGGGCTGTTAATTCTTAAACTACGCTCAACTCCTGCGAATGTGAGAACTGGCAGAATTAACATCGAAAAGAAAGTGGAAGGAGAGCATATAAATGGGATTTTGCGCAGGTACAAACAATTCTGTTCTGTTTTTTTGAGATTGGAACTCAAGTTTAATGGGATTGTCTGTATTATACATGTTTATATGTCAAATAAGTGGATTAATGCAGTCAAACTTGCCTAAAAAACTCACCAAAATATGAAAATCTGCTGTTAATCCTTTTTTTGCTCTCAGGCTCTCCAATTTGACTTTCTTCGGCAGAACATTAGGGATTGTTTTCAGCTGAAACTACAGTCCTTGCTGATTCATAAAATGCAAGTCAATGGCTGCAAGCACTTTAATAGTTACTAAATATTTATCTGCAGATCATGATGATAGATTGCAGTCTGTGCAAGAAACTGTTCATCTGAAAACCTTCTTTAGTGCTCAGCATATTAAAAACATAAGTCTACTGCATTTCGGAAGACCTGAGGGTGAGCAAATTACTAGCAAATTTTCATTTTTGGGCAAACCATCACTTTAATGCAACATTCTAACCTGATCCAGGTCTCCGTCCCGTCCTTAGAGCATTCACTCTTTATTTCTCATGTCACACACCAGGGAGGTTACTGATACTTCAGTATTTTTAGGAAATGCAAAAGTTTGTGCGTGTCAACCCTTGCTTTGCTTGGTTTCTTTGTTAGAACATTATAAATGAAAGCAGATCTAGTCTATCTGGTGGTCAGGATTTATATGGTGGCTGTCTCCTTATGCTTTTCCATAATATCCAGATGTCCGGTATTTCAGGTAGGATGGCACTTGATAAAGGCTTGAGTCTTTCATGCGGGGTACTAGATTTGCATAGGAATTGCTGCACTTGGAATATGAAAGGTCCCAAAGATTAAGTTGATTATGACATTCATGTAACAGACCATGTGACTTGATGCTTTTGAATATCTAAAGTTGTAAAAAAAAACATCAGTGTCTTGTTCACTCCTATTTTTGTTAATTATTAATTCCCTTTTCGTTTGTAGTATGTCTTTTCTTGAGTTTAGTTGTAATATTGTTATGCCATTCTGCTGAGAAAAGCTTAAATGTGTTAGTAAATGTTTAAAACCTAGAAATTACTGCCCTGTTTACATCAGTTTCAGTGAAAGGGAGAGGGGTTTTGAAGTACAAAAGGGGTTATTGACTACAAACTGCTCTGTTATGGATGATAATCATAGTTTTCTATGATTATTTCAACCTCAGTTGCTTGTTGTCGATTACCACAGTAAATCATTTCAGTTTTCATATTTATGACTCAGTTTAAAAATTAAAATTGCGAATTATCCAGGTACTAACTGAAATGATAAAGCATAACTACACTTATACAAATAACTTTGATACCCCGCCAAACATAACAGCGTTTATTTTTAGGTGACACTTTTCTGGCTCTTGTGAAATGGTTAAGCACATTTGATGTTTTCAGTCATCATGTTCAAGTCTCAGATATTCATTAGTGCACTCAAGAGTGTGTTTTCTTTGTGTTTAACAAACACTCACCTTTTTCTGATTTGAGTCAAAGCATTGAGTCCTGTAATAAAACAACTCATGTTCAGTTTAATGCACTTGATCTTTTTCACTGTTTTCTAATATCTGAACTAGAACTGTTCTATTGTAAACTCAAAAGAAAAAGTGTTGAATGAGTGAGAGATGCCAGAAGCATGAGGGTTTTATTGTGGTTGTATCAAGACCATGATCTACCTAATTCATTAACTGGTGACATTAAAATGATTTGAAATACTTTGAGAGTCGTTTGATTTAATTTTTTTTGAAGACATGTCACATAATCATCATATATGGATGCACCTGAGAACAAAAGTAGGTAAGTAGATTTTGGTCCCAAATAGAGGAACATATTTCACAAAGCCCAGCTACTTTAGTAGATACACATTATTTACTGCTGGATATCACAAATAACTGATCAGCCCATCACATTAATGCATTTAAGCATGCAGGCTGAAGTTCAGACCAACCATCAGAATAGAGATTAAAGTTGATTTAAGTCAAACTATGCAGAGTTTCAAGCACAACCTTGAAAAAAGAGAGTAAAGTTCTGTGGATGAAAATGCTTTGTTAATGCCAGAGGTCAGAAAAAAATTATCAGACTAGTTCAACCTAGCAGAAAGACAACGCTAACTTGACCAAGTTCACCAGAAGAGCATGTTTGAACAACACATTAAACCTTGGACAAGCTGATCTGCAGCGGCAGATGGGAAAAAAAACTCTACAGAGATACTCGTGTCAGCTTTAAGCCTGATAAATACTTCTGCGTGGAGTGATCAGTGTACCTTAAACATTTTCGACCATTTATACATATGCATTGTGTCTGTGCTCCTCTGGCAATAGCACCTCCAAAACACTAGCAGGCAGTGAAGTTTTTATGGTCTACTGTGTTTTATGTTTGCATCAGAAATGCGTGCAATACACAAATTACCATGTTTGTAAACATTCAAGATGCGTGCACCTTGGTTTCAGAAAAAAGCAGGAACACTAGCATTTACAGTGAGAGAATGACATCCGATGCGATACAGGTTGTTGTCTTAGAAATAAGTTATATTGATTATATATATATATATATATATATATATATATATATATATATATATATATATATATATATATATATATATATATTATTTACATAATGCGTTCAGCGTATTATAACAGCTTGTCACCCAGTGATAAGCACAGTAATTCGGCAAAATTAACGTTGAAGTGAGCAGCATTTATCTGACAGGTCTATCCGCGATAGCACCCTCACAATGAATATTGGATAAGACGAAATGTCCACGCATCCAGCCCTAAATACACAATCTCATTGAAGCTCCAAGTGATTTTACAAGAGAAAAGTTAAAGGCCTACAAGTCTTTGGATGCCAACAATTTAGTTCTGTGTAGTCATGTACAAGAAATAATGATCCATGATTACCAGATTCAAAACTTTGTAATGCTAAAAACCAAGGTTCTGCCTAGCCAAAGACAAGGAAAGAAGACGGAGCTTTACAGGGCCTAGGTAATCGTCAACAAGCAAAACAACTGCATTCTCACAGCGAAATGCACTTGTGTTAATTAAACTGTCCGCAGTTTAATTACCCATATTTAACTGTTTTTGCTGAGATCATTGCTGCAATCAAAAACGAGTGATGTGTATGATTCAGCATAGCGTGAACTTACCAGATATGAAATGAGAACTAAAGAGTCCAGAATTTCCAATTAGGGTGTCACTTCATTCAGCTCCCTTTTAGCCAAGGACGTCTGCAGTTGGCATTAAAAGCATTGAATTTGGCATCCTACCGCACAACACAACATGTTTCCTATTGCAACCGGTCTCTTTTTGCAACCGGGAACCCATGAAAGAGGCAGGAACGCATGGGATATTCAACTACTTTAATCATAAAGTAATCTCCATGGGGCTACTCTGATTGTCTTGTTAATTTTCGAAGGACTTGTTAAACCCTCCAGACACCGGCCTTACTCTGCTCCCACAGTTCATGGACCAGCCCACATTAGTCATCACTATCAACCTGACCAATCACATATCTTGCACTCCACATTGTCACAATAGTTTGTTTTTACTTTTAAGAGGTGTGCATCATGATCGGTGTCAGGCTATCCTGAATGGTATGCAACTGCGAAATCGAAAGGGGATCATCCACATGCACTCGATGCAGAAGTATAAATTGGACTTAAGAACAGCAAACTGAGGCTACAATTCACACAGTCTCACCAAAATTGGACAACATAAGATCATAAACAGCTTGCCTGATCTGATGTGACATTCACGTGGTTGCCCAAAGTAGGGCCCGCGGGCTAAAGTTAGCCCTTGGTAACCTTTGGTTTGCCCCACCATCCTATCTGAAAAGAGTGAGAATGATTTTGAAAGGAGTTGGGTTGAGACGAATATCTTTGGCAGAGATCGTCATTTCCAATTTAATGTAACCTTTAGTTTCATTGTTTAATTTAGGAGCTACAAAAAGCCAACTAAATCAAATGTTGTAAATGAAGCAGACTTTTAAAATGTAAATACTGTCAAATAAAGGACAATGCACAAGACATCAGCAAGCAAACCAAGGCAAAGGCAAGAGCTGCTTGACTAGCGTATTCAGCATTGAACTCTATTTGTGTTATAAATGGAATTGTTTGTTTTTACTATATTAAGTTCATAAAAAATGTTAAAAATAAAACTTCATCATTATTAATATGTTTTAAAGCTAGTTATTTTTAAAATATTAGCAAATAAATTAGGAAATAGCTAATTTAATGTAATAAAGTTTGGTATATTCAACTTCTGCACACAGCCGTCAATCAAGTTTTGGCCCTTTAGAAGAAAAAAGTTTGGACACCCCTGCTGTAGCGCCTGCAGCAGGGCAGATGTGGTTCTTTGTCTTGCTCAAGGCAAGGGACTCCTCAGTTATGGCATTGAGGGTGGAAGAGTGCACTGGTTATTCAATCCTACCTACAATCCATTGTCTGATTGTCCAACTTTCTAATCATTAGACCTATTACAGATAGATGGCTGCCATTTCTGCAACAATAATAATTTTCTCATATCACTATGGACCAAAGTGTCCATGAAAGGTTTCCAGAACCTTGTTGAGTTTTTACCCAAAGAATTAAGGTTGTTCTGAAGGCAGATAAAGTGAGCGTATGTTTTACACTCTAAAAAATGCCCAGCCATTGGGTTAAAAAATGTACTTTATATTTAATAGAAAACCCAATGTGGGTTACAACAACCTAGCATTTTTAGTGTATGTACTTTATCAGAATCAGGATCAGAAAGAGCTTTATTGCCGGGTATGTTCACACATACAAGGAGTTTGTTTTGGTGACAGCTTCTACAGTGCAACAGAATGACAGAGACAGGACAAAAAAAACAGATTATAAATATTTAAAAAAAATAAAAGTAAGTAGTGAATGCAAATATACAAATTGACAAGTGTATGTACAAGTATATCACCATATACAACGTTATATGTGCAGCTATTATGTGCAAATTGGCATGTAAAGTATGTTGTTAAATAAATGTGTATGTATACAAAAAGTAGTGAAGAATTCTTAGAGAGTAAGGAGGGTTGTACCAGTGATTCGCTCAGCAGTCCGAACTATTTGACGTAGTCTTCGGAGGTTGGATTTGGTAGCTAAATCAGACAGTTATTGACATGCAGAGGACTGATTCAGTGATGGAAGTGTAGAACTGTTTCAGCAGCTCCTTTGGAAGGTTGAACTTCCTCAGCTGAAGAAGGAAGTACAGCCTCTGTTTATGTTGTACTTCTTGTTAGCGGTGTTTGCTAAGGACACTATCTGCACTGCTATTGTCCATACTGAAGGTTAGTGATCAAAACAATCAGAATTTATATTTCTGTCATTACTGTATAATATGCACATCAGAACCATTCCCCTGACAACAGTATATATGCTGGAATAATACATAACGGCTGCTATGGTTGTGCTTTATCTTAACATTTTCATAGAGTGAATTTCCCCTTGCAGCCTTTATTGATAGATTACATCTATAGTTAAAGATTCATTCATCCACATTGTTGTTGCAATGCATCTTTTTTAACTGTTCAATGAATCATTCCATGCTCAGAAGCTTCATAAAGTCCTATAATCAGTACAAGCTTGTCTATTATACAGGCCGACTCTCAAAGGATGTAGTATGTGCACAGACACACAGATGACCAAATCAGAGTCAATTACTTTGAATATGACTGGAGCCGAGCAGTGCAACCTAACATGACCTCTGATGTTAAAACAGAGTGGTTCATTCATCTAGAGACTGACGGTAAGTGCCGCTCCGCAGTGAGCTCCACCCTTCATGAACCCCTGACTGCATTTGAGATTACATTTACTCGAACGAGACTTGCATTACTAAAACCTTTTCATCCTTTAACACTGATGTTCATGTTTTAATAGAGAAAGAAATCATTGATGAATTCAGATTCTTGCACGTTAAAGTTGATGCAACTGGAATCCGTAATGCAACAACTCTTTTTTTCAACTTTATTTTCAGTGTCTGAATATTGGGGGTGCAAAACATGTCCCCCCTTCAATGTCTTTGGTGATTATGGCTCTCATACATTTAAAATCAACATGCAGATGAGGAACTGTACAGATAAGGAAATGTCAAACCATAGCATCGGCTTTGTCAAGGAAGTGTTGGTTAATAACAGAACTAGCACTTTTAACCAGTGTGACCATTTTACTCTCGTTGTTTCATTCTTTTTTTCCATAGCTGTAAAGACTTTGACACACTCCACAACCAAAACAACACAAGGATCTTTATTCAAAATACTCATGAATGAAACAAGACATTTGGACTTCAAACAGTCTGTAGCACAAGATTTGATTCTTCAGATTGTGGATAAAATGGAAAAAAAGACAGTAAGGATAAAAAAGGCAGAAGAAAGTGCACACAAGTCTCCAAAGTGCTTGGCACAACCATGGACAGAAAGGGAACTGCATGGTTAGATCAAGCACAATGGTGTCCTGGGCAAAAGCAGAAACTCCTTCAGATTCTGGGTCAGTCATAAAGGACAAGGCAGAATAGTCCATGTACATTAAATTTCAGTTTAAAATCAAGAAGATTACAATGAAGGTTGTCTGGGAACAGGTCAGGTGTCCAGGTCTATGCGAGATGGAACCACAAAGATATAGATCACTGGTTGAAGGGAATTCAAAAAGTCTATCAGAAGATTGAGTATAGTTGTCATCGATAGTGCTCTTCATTTATCCTTCGATGTTGTATCTATTCTCAAAAGGGCTGGAAGAAACTTGAAGTCACTGGAAATGGAAAAGAGCAGTATCATAGAACTTGTACCAAGAGTGACTCTGGCACACGCAATAGGACTGATTAGGTGTTGGTGATAGACTACGACTAAGGATGTCTGCAAAATTAAAAAAAGAAAAAAGATTAGTCACAGGTCACGTTCTCACTGCAGATTCGTAGGCACCGCCCTTCCTCTGCGCAAAAAACTGCGTCAAACCCCACCCTCTTCGAAAACTCGACACCTTACCTCACTACCTATGCCCGAAAACCCTACATTTTCAACAATTTCAATGAAAAATGAAATGGAATATAAGAGTGCTCTGGAACAAGGAGTAACAAACAAGAGCGGTTTAGTAATTAAATGAGATTTCTGTCATTCAATTATTCTGAGGTTTCCAGAAAATCTATAGAAATAGAGTTTGTTGGAGCAATGGTTGTCTTGTTAAGAGACACAAGTAGTTCCTGACAGATTCCCAAACAGATCGCACAAACAAGACTTAACTTTTACTGTTGTTTTCTTTTGTAGCTTGTCAATGTCGTCTGTCTGACAGTTTTATTTAACCTAATTCTGAACTTGTTACTGCAAAACCTCTTGTGGTAAGGTATCCCAGAGAATCTCTCCCAAAATTCTGTCTAGATTTTGCTTCTCCATCTGGGTGGTAATCAAATTAACCTCATACTTGTCGTGCCCCTTGGGACATTTTAGCGGCAATGGGAAGAATAGGTGCACTAATCAACTCTAAAGGTCAAATGAACCACTTAGCCTGATGAGATGAGAGGAAACAAATATTATTAAGAATGACCATTTGGGGTGCTGAAGGAGAACGGAGGATGATGATCAGAAAGAAAAGTTGATAAAGTATGGATGAATAAAAATGCTCTACAACGTTGTTTGACCAGTATATTGGACATCTCCCTGTCCCTCTAGAGTCTATCCCTTGAATACACAACATGTTTAGAGAAAACACTTCTCACCCACTAGGCTAGTATTTTGTGTCCTTCTTGCGCAATACTCTCTTTACGATCTTTTCTTTGAAGAGCACTAGCTCAAAAATTGCTCAATTTCTAGAGTGCATGTAAACTAAGAATTGTCAGCGCAGGTCTGTGAGAAGAAAAGAAGAACAGTTAAGACATTCAGCAACTTTTGCATTTACGACTCTTACCTCAGTCTTGTAGACGAACATCTACATGAAGTCTAGTAGAGGACCTTTCAACAGGTTCCCACAGAGATGGATGTCCTCAAACTAAATTGTCACATTAAGACCAATGCCTCTTGTTCTTGCCGACTAAGATCAGCTGAAGGCGAAGTGGAGCTGCTGTTTGGAGGTGGGTGTCTGGACCGGACCTGTTAGCCAGACTGAGGGCAAACTGTCCAGGATGTCTCTCCTCCAGCACCCCCCATACTCCGCCCCTCCCTCCGCCTCCCGGGAGGGGTCCTGCAATATCACCCAGGATAGGTGGGATTGCGAGGAGAAGTTGGGTGGTGTGGGCCAAGGTACGTGTCATTGGAAGGGGGGTAGAGGGTCCAGTTCCGCAATTCATAAATATTAATATAGAGTCCTCCATCTTGAGGAGGGGGCAAATTCTTTAATTTTGTTAGAGGGGGAAGCGCTTTATTCACTTAATGGCTTTTATTAGTGCCCGGACTTCAACTCTTTCATTAGCTAAAGTGCTGCTATAATTTACAGGGGAAAGTGCAGCAGGGGAAGATGGGTGGGGGAAGGGCGGAGCTTGATGGTTGAAGCGTTGGCTTCTCTGCCATTGGTGGACGTCCCTACCATCTAAAAAAATAGACTCAAATCGATGCCTGAGTCTGCCTCCCTTTCATCCCCATGAACCCAACAACCCCTCCAGAAGAAACGAACAACATACTTTTTACGATTTTGCTGATGGCGCACTTTAAATTCTCATTGATAACATATTGCGTCTTTTAGTTATGCTTTCTTTGAGATTATTCATTTCACTGTCTGCATTAGGTATTGTTCTGCGAATTCGGTGACGTGGATGAGGCTTTTTAATCAATCATTTTGAATAGATGAAGACATTTTAGAATTTTCAGAAACAATAATGCCAAAGAAGTGTCCATCTTTCTAAACGGATTGTTAGATTTACTAAATTCAGCTGTGCCAAAGCTGCTTAAAGCAGACTGCCCAATAACTAAAATCAAAGCTCAGAGAAAAAGACGATCATTTAAAATAGTTGAGAGGGTCTTTTGACAAATTATTTCTATAGAGTTTGTGGTTATTGAAAAAAACATTTCAAGAAATTGTTTTGGAGAGAATCTCACACTCACCAAATCAATTATCCAAAGAATATTAAAAACATATTTCAGTTTGTATTATTTATGAGAAATAAATTAAGATATAAAAAATGTCATTTTCTCTGGATTTTCTGTTTACCATATTGTGTTTGTATAAACACTTTTGTTTTGTTCTGTGAACTACTGATGACATTTCTTTACATTTAAAATGATATTATAGCAGTTAACATGGTTTCTGCAGGTTTCATTGTCAAATTTAAGACTTTTTAACACCATTATGAATGAGATTTTAGACCTATAGGGGGCTAAACACTAAGGATTTTTTTATAATGGCCCGATTAGATCAATGAAATTGGGGGAAAAAACAAATGTGGTTCTTAACCAAATATTTAATGTGTTAAAAGTGTATTAATTATGAAGAAAACTACATGAATATTCATAAAATATATTTGCTTTTGGTTCAAATTAATTGAGTACAAGTCCTATTCAACCTAATGCATTTCTATTATAAAACCTTTATTTTCTTTATAAGTATTATGTCCACTCATACTTTCTACTGTAAATAGTTCTTGTGCAATTGGAAGATTATGTACAGGAATTGTGTAAGTTTTCTTTTCCGGATTAGGGAATTTAATTAAACATATTTGCTGAAAAATGTCTAACAACTGTTGTCAAACAATCATCCCTTTGCAATAAAAAATGTTATATATATATATATATATATATATACACACACACACACACACATACATACATACATACATACATACATATTTTTACATAGTGGATGATTGGATGGGTGTCAACCCGGTTGGGTAACATTTCAACAACTTTTAAAATTAAGACCCGTTTAAAATTATTTAAGACCTACGAGACAATATATCTGAAAATGTAAGACTTTTTAAGGCCTCAAGTTCTGTTTTTAAAATTACATTGTTAAGACTTTAAGACCCTGTGGATACCCTGGTTAAGAAGCAGTTGGTCAAAAAATAATAAACAAGATACTCTTTTCAGAAAGGCTTGCATTTGATTTATAGACAACACAAAACTACTGTTTCCACTTCAGAGCTCAGAAAGAAATCTTTGGGAAATGACCATAATTTGATCATAAATGGAAATATGTTATTTTGATCAGCTTTTCTACAAAACAGCTCGTCATTACTTAGAAAAATGTTATCAACCCTTACAGAAAAAAAAACTCTGAAAACTTGTTGACCACAGATTAAAAAAAATAGTTTATTCTTCTAGCCACCTTAGATGCAAACACACAATTTCTTTTTTTAAATGGAGATTTTTTTGGGGCACTTATCACACATAATGTCAAAATGTCCCTGGGGAATGGAGAAATTTAAGGGTATCAGTGCTTCTGTCTGGGTGTGTTTCACTCCTCATCTCATTCATCCACTAAGTGCCCTGCTTATCCAGAGTGATTGATTATCCCAGAGGGGGAGGGTATTACTTATAACCACAAGACTACTGGATAGCAGGCTGGTTACTGACTAGACATATCAGTTCATTTTGTTCATCTGGAAAATAATACAGAATACAGTCAAATGTTTTGCATCATGTATTACAGTCTTTTATTGGTTTTGCAGATGCAATTATTCTGTAACTGCATTCAAGCCATTTGTGATGCATATCCAACCATAAGGAGACACATTATTTAATCTGCTGGATGCATTTGCATGGATTAACAATCATACTTTTTCCAAGTCCAAAAATACAAATGGAGAAACAGCAAAATGGTGCCATGGGAAACCTCTGGGGCATTTATGAATGTCTTATCACTTCTAATGAGAAGTGTACTGATCATGCAAGGCATCGGAGTCCTTTTATTTCTTGACCAGCTGGATTACATCCTCATCTTCCATCACGTGGTCTTTGCCGACTTTCTGCGGGTTGTGCTTGACCGACGAGCCCCACACCAGCGCACTGCAGAGAGAAAAGAGACATGATGCTAGGCACGTTTCAACATAGCAATACTACATGCGCTCGAAATGTCTTACGTGCATAGTTTGAAATCTTCCTTCATTAACACAGGCATTTTGAAAAATCCCATTTAAAATCATTGTGATGGGTTATTTGTGTTGCTTGAAATGGAGATTTAAAAAATAACTAAATAAATAAATATACTGTGATTCTTACTAGTACAGTGACTGTCAAAATACTCTTAATTACTACATTTCTATATACAATTTCTGTTATATCTAATTAATAAATATTCCATACTTTAAGACAGAACAATTTTTTATTGGTTTTTCTCTTTTTTTTTTTTTAAAAGACAGATATAGGCATGTTGCACATTTCGGCCTGACATTTTCTTAAACAAGGATTATTAAAATCAGATGCAAAAGGAAACTGCTGAGACTTATTTCAGAAAGTTGATGTACTTCTAACTAGGGTGGACGATTCTGGCTAAAATGAAAATCACTTTGTTTTTCCTAAAATCAAGATCACGGTTTTCTCACAATTCTGTGGATGTAAAATAAAGGTTCATATGAGTCGCCTATTATTATTATTATTATTCTCAAACACTGTATAAAACAACAATATTAATATTTGGCTTATGTTCTAGTTTACCGTTGGTTAAAATGCTCAATTTTGTATAGACTTGAAACGGTGGACTTGAACAGACTTTAAATATGTCCTGAAGTTTAATTATGTTTGAGACATATGCTTTTCATTTGTCACTGACAACATTATTAAACCAGTTTTTACTGGTAAAATGAAATATGTCATTACAAAATTCCCTCTTGCGTTATATTCAACATTATATAGACTACAGTAGCTGACTCAGTAAACATTTATTTTCATGCACAACACTGTTCGCTATGAAGGAAAAACATATTAAATGCTTGTCGTAATCCTAACTCATAAATGTGATATGATCATTTAAATAATGTGTGCACGTTCGGTTTCACTTTCACTGCCAAGTGCAGCTCATGTCATGTCATCCGTCACTTTGAGGAAAAATCATACATGGAAATCTTACTTCCCACGCGGCTCCAAAACAATTGCTCTGTGCAACAATCTGAACATTATTAAAAACTTTATTATTACCTGTTATTCACAGCCTGCATATTCTGTTCACTAAAGTAGACTACACTGGCGGGCACACACGTGCCTCTCGGTAGGAAATAAACAGTGCGTCAGCTCATGAGTGATTTTGTGGCCACGAATACATCATTACATTAAGACAGAAAAGACTTTTTTTGATGAAATAAACCTTATAAATACAGTGTGTGACACATTTAACACAATTTGTCCATGTTACTGAGCAATGAATATAAAATGTGAAGACATGTGTGACCTCCTTAACGCTTCTCTCCTGACCTTAAAAACAATTGGCTGAATTGTAGAAAAGCTGAGTTAATATTGTGTGTAGGGTCGAATCGAGATCGCCATCTTCTTTTGATTAATCGTGCAGCTCTACATTTTACTGAAACAAATTATGGAGTGGTTGAACGCTAATAAATCAATGATGCTACTGGTAACTACAACAATTAAAATGCTTAATTGATAATTGAAACAAAATTCAATAAAAAAACCTGGTATCACTTTATTTTGATGGTCCCTACTGCGCATCTTGTTGACTAATATTTACATTGCAACTACATGCCAACTAATTCTCATTAGATTACAAGTAGAGTGATAGGTCAGGGTTACAGTTAGTGTAAGTTAACGTACTTTCAAAGTTTCTTATAGTCAGTTTAATGTTGAAGGAGCAGTATCAACAGATATCAAGAAGACAGTCTACTAATGGTCTAATGAGAATGAATTAGCATGTAGTTGCAATGCAACTTTTAGTCAACAAAATGTTCAACAGGGACCATCAAAATAAAGTATTACCAAAAACCCTATAACAAAAAAGTGGAAATTACACCACAACCTCTAAGTGAGGGGGAAATATTTTAATAGAATAACTTCTAAATAAAAACTAAACCTTCACTGATATACAGGTATCCTAAATAAATAAATAAATACATAAATAAAGGGCTTTTTGGACAGAATGTAGAGACAAAATCTTCCCAACAGAAGGAAGCAGAAACACACTGTATGTTCACTTTAACCTTGGAATAAAGTTCAGGATATGAGCTGATGTGTGTAAAATGTAGATAACTAGTGCTGCCATTACATCAGAGACAACGGTTATCAAGAACTGAATTCAGATCACAATGATTTTATCCTTTGGATCTCAATACAGACGAACAATGACGTCCAAAGGAAATGCATAATCACATTACATCAGAACTGACTCAAGGCAAAAACATCAATGAGATCAACTTCAGTCCACGTGCAGGAAATAAACATTAGTCACTTACTATTTGAATTCTTTGATGAGGTTTTTGTGAATCTTTAGGCAGAAGTCCTCGACAGCGGTCCTTCCGTCTGGAAGAACGACAGGTGCTGTGTAATCAGGAAGCTGTCCCTTCGGCTTTGTGTAGCTGTGAAAAATCAGTCAGTGTTATTATACATCCTGCTGAGGCTTTATGACACACAGTGCAAACTTTAAAGTCTCCCAGAGAGCACTAGACAGCAGAACACTGTGATGCATTACAGTACATTACATTACCTTCCTGCAAGCGTCTCTTAGGCTTTTTCACTCAAAATAAAGTTTCAGTAAACTGTTTCTTCAGCAAGTCACTGATTTCCCTTACAGCGATTTAATTAAGTTGCCTAAAAATATATATGTATTTATTTAGCTCAACCAAAAATGAACATTTACACAATACTCATTCTCCCTCATGTAGCTACAAACCTTTGAGTTTCTTTCTTCTGTTGAACAGAAAAGATTATATTTTGAAGATAGCTACAAACTTGTATTGATAGATGTGTAGTATTTGGTTTTTCCCTTATGTGGAAGTCAATGGTATAGAGGTTTTAGCCGTCTTTAGAATATCAATGTTACGTCACAGCTATTTTAAAACACTTGGAAATTCCAATAGTTTTCTGCAGGAGCGTTAATCTCTGTGAGCCTATAAATCATTCAGGTATAATGAAATAGTATAGTACATTACTGAGAGTTTACAGTCTGTGCTGATCTTGGATCATTACACATTTGCAGATGATTTAAAGCGGAGCTATTAAGCCTCTTTTTACTAGATGCAAAATAAGTCTCTGACGTCCCTAGAGTGTGTTTGAAGTTTTAGCTCAAAATACCTAACGAATCGTATTTTATAACTCCTTGAAACTGAAACTTTCAGGCTTTCACCAGAATTGTGCAGTTTTGGTGGCTCTCTCTTTAAACTCAAATGACATTGAGCTGCAAACACCTATGCTTTAGCATAGAAGCAGATTCAAAGAATGAATGTTCTCTCTATCAATGACTGAAGGCTAAGGAGGAGGCAGTCTATGGAGCCTACAGTGTTCATTTGTGCATCCCAAAACTCAGCATTTAAAATGTCTCTTAGTCGCTCACATTATCTTTAGCAAGTATGGTGAAAACACTAATGGTGGACAGCTGCTTCTCACTCAGGGCTGTTTATGTCACTAAGGACAGATTGACACCATGGGGTGGGGCTTTCCTCCCTGATGACATGCTCAAAGTTTTTATCAAGTGTGATAATAAAAAAGGTAATTATTATTATTTTTTTTTATTTGAAGCTGGCTATATTCACACACTGTTGCCACATAACTGTGCCCAAACTCCTTATGGAAGTGATTTTTGCACAATAGGTCCACTTTAATGAGAGGTTTTTGAGATGCATTTAGAGGACTGACCAACAGGTGGCGCCAGGATGTTGCGTTTCAAAAAACACTGAACACTTTGAAACACTGAATCATTTCACCAAGCAATTGTTTCGGTTGATTTAAAGCTTTGATTCTTCCATTTTTACTTTTATCATCTCAGTTTTCACAATTAGATGTTTTTTGCAGTTTACACTATGATGTCATATGGATGTGAATTATGTGTTCAGTTTTTAGGTATACGCAAATATGTACTACAGGACTGTAGTGTTTCTTAACAAGAGAAGTCACCAATCTCGGTCCTGGAGGGCCGGTGTCCCTGCAGGGTTTAGCTCCAACTTGCTTCAACACACTTGCCTGGGTGATTCAAGTATACCTAGTAACACCTTAATTAGCTTGTTTAGGTGTGTTGGATTAGGGTTGGAGCTAAAAATCTGCAGGACACATACCTTCAGGAATAAGTTTGGTGACCACTGCTTTACGAAGTGAAAAATCATCAAACTCCGCTGTCATGTAAAAAATTGCTCCCAGAATGCAGTGAAGGTAACTCACATGCGCACTAGTTGCAGGTAATCCCAGATCTTTTCCAACAGGTCATCAAAGTTCCAGCGGTGGTGAGCGGAGATGGGCACGCAGTGAGGGATTTTGTAGATAACGTCCAGCTCCTCGATGGAGATTTGGTCGATTTTGTTGAGGACATAGATGCAGGGAATGTAAACCCTAGAGGAGGAAAACCAGCATGTGAAAATCTCTTCTGAAGTGAGAACGCTTGAGGATTGAGGTTGAGAATTTGCTCCTACCGGTTTCCCTCCACCACGTCAATAAGGTCATCGGCTGTAGCGTCGCTGCGTAGGGTAATATCTGCATTGTGGATCTTATACTCGGAAAGGATGCTTTTGACAGTGTCACCGTCCAGCTCACTTTGGGCACACTAAAACAGAAAGACACAATGACAATTGCAAACACAACTTATCTGATGAATGACAGACATTAAAAGATGGAAGCACATGTGATTCTGGCCTACTGGAACAGAATTGTAGCCAAAATAAACAATATTTTTGGACTGGACATAGATATAAAACCCTTTGTCCCTTCTTCTGAGTTTTCCTTGCAAACTAATCAGGAACAAGTATGAACAACGACTCCTCTGCCTGTTAACTTTTGCTGTCAGGAAGAACATTTTGATGTCATAGATCAATGATAAGCTCCCTTCCTTAAGAGGATGGCATTCAATAACTCAAGAGATTATTCCCCTGGAATACTTAACATGTCTAAGCCACTCCACAACTGATATATTTATTCGCACTTGGACACCATATCTGGACAGTATAAACCTTGCTTTATGTGACATTTTGAAACTCGGAATGACAATGTCCGTATAGACATTCATTCTTGTTTTCTGTTTTCATCAAACTTTTCACTCTTCCTGCCATATTGTAATGTTTATAACATAATAGCTTATGGCTTTGGCCATATGTATATTTTAGTATATGCAGTTGTGTTTTGTGTCAGGCATTTTATGTTGTGTTTGTATTTTTGTTTTGTGTATGTCAAAAAAGAAAAAACAAATAAAAACATTTAAAAAAAAAAGAAAAGAAAAGATGGAAGCGAACATGCTGAGGCAAGCAAAAAGGCATTAACAATATGGCTAAAACTAATGAAATGATTAAAAAAATTATAAAAAAAATATGCCAATTCTGTTCATGTTATGAGAAACTGATTAGTGTCAAAAAAATGTGTATTCTCTTTTACGATATACATATAAGTCAAATTGCTTTTCAAATGATAAATGTAAAATTAAACTTTGGTAAAAAAATAGATAAAATCATTGTATCAAAAGGACATTTATAAATAATGTAATATAAATGATAATAAACCCTTTAATATTTCACAATATTAATTAATAAAGTACTGATATAGCCATAATTTACTTACAACTAAATTAAGAACAGTGTATTAGATTATGTAATTTGGAAATTAGTACTGGACAAATATTATAACTGCAATGATAGACATATTGATTTTTAAAAAATGGAGAAAAAAAGCTAATAAAAATGCATTTTGTAATATTATTTCATTACATATAATTATATTAACTTTACATCAACAAACATTTGAAACTTTTTAATACCCAAGTGTGTAAATGTATGCAATAAAGAGCTAATAGTACACTGAAGTCATACAGTGGCAGTGAAGTTGATTCCGCCCTTGTCTTTCTTCTTGAAGCCAATATTTGGTGGTTGCTTGTTGAGCCGAATACCAAAACCTTCCAACTCGTGTTCAATAAGCTTCTTGTGTCCGAGGGGCTTCAGTACATCCAAGACAATCAGAATCAGGTTACAAGTGCGAGCAACTGTTGGAATGAAGAAAAGTTTAGGGAAATGCCAATTAAAAAAACAGAACTGCACTACAAGTGTCTTGTTATTATCTGTGTTAACAGTCTATTACCAGCAATGACTTGTCGTCCTCTTCCTTTGCCGTCTTTTGCCCCCTCAATGATACCTGGGAGATCCAGAAGCTAACAAAGAAAATAAGAAACACACCATTAAAACGATAGACCTTACATTCAGAATGCATCATTTATGTCAGTCATTCAGCAAGGTTGTACACCTACTTTACAAAATGATGAATCACTAAATCATGTTATACCTTTCAACACTGTCCAAACGCAACTTAATCAGGTATGTAATGGACTACTGCAAAATGGTTCACCTGGATTTTCGCTCCTTTGTAACGGATCACTCCTGGTACAGTTGTCAGTGTTGTGAATTCATAGGCAGCCACTTCAGAATACACACCAGCCAAGTTACTCAGAAGAGTGGATTTGCCTACTGATGGGAAGCCCACAAAACCTATTCGGGCATCACCGGTTTTAGCCACATCAAAACCTGAGGGGGGAAAAACCAGGTTGGTGAAAAAATGAAAGCCATAATTGACTCTGGAGCTCCTGTTAGACAATAGAAGCATGAAACTTCAAGACAAGATATGAACCCCTTTTTATAGACTTAAACCATGTTTAATCCAAAGTTTAAAAAGAATACACAGTGCACTAATTCATCCCATTTATTTAATTTGATCATTTTTAAACTGACAATTTATCAATAAAAATGAAAGTTGCTGCAACACTTAAGCAATTGCATGTCAAGTTTTCTTGCTTGTAGGCATGCCATCTCCAGAACGCAAGTTATTTTTTATTCCTGGTTTGTATTTCAAAACACAATGTTGTGAGTTCTTGGACGCAAGTTTACCAAATGATTTTGATTACAGCTTGAAAATAAAGAAATCAAAAAAGCAAACATGAGTACTTTAATCATTTACAACACAATACTATTATTACAATACTTCTAATTTTGCATAATTATTTCATTTGTAAAAATAATCACAAAATAAATGTGAAAATTATTATAGACCTTTTGAGTTTGTCCAATTGTCAAAATAGATGAAAATATGAAGGCCTGTCACAATAATCAATATATCGACTTGCAAAACTTTGAGATGACCTCAATAATTTTACCTGCTAAAATATACATTTACAATTCATAAATAACCTTAAAGCCATCTTACATTGACATTTACATTCTACCTTACCAGTGTCGAAGTTTATCATGGAACATTTATCTATAATATAATAGCATATATGTAGCCGCTATGTCCCTAGAACCAATCAGAAGGCATGAATCGAATCATATGTTTTCAATTTAACGACACGCTGATACACCGGCTTTTATGAGGAGACTTTATTCCACTTTTACTTGAGATTTTAAAAGATGGAGTTTGATGAACTGGATGAGCTTGTTCGACTGTCAGTGAATGGCAAATAAAAACATCCCTTACCTTTAAACTGTGTGCATTATAAGAAAAAGAAAACACACTGTACATTTGGAACTGTGGATATATTCATAACGTTTTTTTTTTTTTTTTGCGTGCAGTGACGCTATAAATAGGTCCTATTTACTACACATTAAACAGCAACTCCATTTCATGAAAGACGAAGTAAGGATGTCGTTCTTTTATCCCACATGGATGCTATGAGGATAAACAAGACACGAAAAAGAGACAGAGACCTTGATTATGGTGAGAATGAATGAATGAATGACAGCTTCTAAAACTGTCTGACAGACATCCCCTTTTTGCCCAGTAGGCCTACCTTGTGTTTTATTTGTTAATGTTAGCTATTTTTTAAAAATAATAAATATAATGTATAAAACTATACATAATATTTATATCTTGATATTACTTATATATCTGATAAGCGTTTTATATTCATGGACAATGCAAAGATAATGATGTTTCACAATGTTTTACACTACGTTTAGTTTGCAATGTTTACTGTGCTCTACTTACAATAACATCAGAAATGACAACAGATTGTTAAGCTTTAATAAATTTCAATTTTAATGTTAATGATTAATGCACTTACTTGACAGATTTCATTCATTCATTTTCTTTCTGTTTAGTCCCTGGTTAATCAGGGGTCGCCACAGTGAAATGAACCGCCACTTACTTGACATGTTTATGTATTTATAATTTTCGGTGTTTTGTGCAATGCGCTATATGTTAGGGTAAATTATTCTTTAGTGATTCTAATTACACTTTCTTGGTGGATTTAGGGGTTTTTGCAAAAAAAAAATAAATAAATAAAAGCACAAGTGGATTTAGCTGGTTTTGACGCAAAAGAAAAACTACCTTGTTAAAAAAAATATGTCTAAAGTGACATTTTTGAAAAAATGTTATTTTATTTACTAGCTAATAACCTTTTTTATTATCTATAAAATTAAACTTCTGAACCTAATTATAGAAGCCTGATAGAAAATGCTCATTTACAAAAAAAGAGGTCTTGTGGATTTAGACAAGAGGGTTTTGCATATGAACTCTTCATATAAACAGTCGCATAAAACGATTTTAAAACTACAACATTGCTTATCGCAACAATTTCTGTGACAATATATCACACAACAAAACTCCTTATTGTGACAGGCCTAGGCAGTTTATGAAAAGCTAGTAAAACACTAGAAAAACTGCTCCCTTGCATAACTAACCAAAAGTTACCATGATTTAAGCAAATGGATTATCATCACAGCAAATACGACTTACTAAACAGTAACCATGCTTGATTTGTTTTATTTGTAGTAAACCCATGGTTAATCTTGAATACCTTGAGGACAATAGTGCCACCTCACTGCACCCAGATTTAAACACTTCATTGAAAGTCTACTGTTTAACAGATGAAACCACCATCTCTTAAACTAACGATTAAGGGGTGTAAGAAAAAGTTGGATAAAAGTTTAGCAATACCAAACTTCCCCTTTTGAAGAGCCTGTGAATGTAAATAGCTGTCTGATGTGATGAGAGGCAGGTGTAGGTGATGATAGTGCAGTACCAACCCTCTCCAGTGCCTCCTCCACTGCCTCCTTTAGGGGTGATGAGTTCTCTCCTCAGTTTGGCTAATCTGGCCTTCAGGAGCCCCAGATGATGAGCGGTGGCCTTATTCTTCTGAGTCCGAGCCATCTGCAGCACACAGCCCGTTCAGAAAACCGCACATTCACGATGACAATATCAACATAACAACAGATTTCCACAGAGTTCAACATTGTATAGGATTTAAATGGTCTGTGTATTAAATGTCCAGTTTATTTCTGAAATAAGGTACAGCAGGACAGACTGTTGAATGGGTTTGGCGCTAAAATGCTAACAGCCGTTTTTCATAAAGTAATTCACTGTAAATGTCAACCCACCTCGTTCTCGATTTCGGCTATTTTGGCCAGTAAACTCATTTTGGCGTTGGTCCTTTCAAAGTTGTATCTTGAGAAAATTAAAAATCAGTGTTTTCGGAATTACGCAGCTATTTAGCTCAAAAGCACACGGTTGTCATGCTTTGCCGGGAGTTCACGGCCACGCTTCGTGTTCCCGCGATACTTCGGCTCTTCACGTGGCTGTGACATGATGAGGAGGGCTCCGTCTTCTGGTAAGGAGCAAATAATTCCAAGATACTTGAGGAAAAGAAATGCGCCAATAAAGATGGATAGATAAAGGCTGTTTTGATTAAACACAAACACATTTGTGGCAGGGAAAGTACTGTGAACCAAACTAAGACTGTATGAATTCAACATGATTCAACAATTAATTTTTAACAGGAGCCTAATTCACATTTCGGAAGATGTGGTAGATATTTTTGTACAAGAAACACATGTTAATAAAGAAACATAGGCTTCTGAAAATGACTGTTCTGAAAGAAAAAAAACAAAGACATTTATGACAGGGAAGTTATGTGAACCGTAAACCCAGACTATAAATTCAACATGATGAGGAAAATTAAGCTGTTGTTCAACCATTAATAATAAACAATAAATAAACACTCACCCTCAGGTTATCCGTGTTGGTGATTCCCTCAGCAGAACATTGAAAAATGTATTTTTAGATATTCATAAAAAAGTACAATACATAAAAGATTTATCTGTACAAAACTGATTTAGCTTATCTTTTCTTTAATCCAGTCTCAGCCAACATTCCTAAGACTGAATAATGCCAGTGTGTTAGACCTCATGTGAGCTGATGCTGTTTGTTTACAATGAAGATGAGCGCAGTTTCAGCTAATAATGAGGAAAAAGGTCATCTGCATCTTAAATGGCTGGATGGGCAAATTCACAAGTTAAAAATAGTACAGTAATTTCTAATGTCTTCCAACCATACTTTAATACTTGAATTAATCTGTTGTGATAATAGTATAGTTGCTGTGGTAATACAGATATAATATGAACAAATTACCCAATACTGTACTGTTTTCTAGAAATATATATTTACAAAAATACACTACAGTTTGCTGTAGTATAACAACTAAAGTGGGCGTCACAGTGGTGCAGTGGTCAGTACGATCACCTCACAGCAAGAAGGTCGCTGGATCAAGCCTCGGCTGGGTCAGTTGGCGTTTCTGTGTGGAGTTTTCATGTTCTCCTTGTGTTTGCGTGGGTTTCCTCCGGGTAGTCTTGTTTCCCCCACAGTCCAAAAGACATGTGCTATAGGTTAATTGGGCAAGCTAAATTGTCTGCAGTGTATGTGTGTGTGAATGAGTGTGTATGGATGTTTCCCAGTGATGGGTTGCAGCTAAAAGGGCATCTGCTGCGTAAAACATATGCTGGATAAGTTAGTGGTTCATTCTGCTGTGATGACTAATGAATAAATTTATAACACAGTTCATGATATTCATTCACTATAAATAACAATAGTATTTTTTCTTGTGGGTTATCCTGTTAGGTTCTATCTTTTTTTGTGTGTGTAATTGTAACAGTTTTTGTTAAATCAAACCATCCAAATTGCATGATGAACCTACATTTTTACATGTACTTTTAGTTTAATAATCTTTTATATTTAATATTCCGTTTTTACATGGTACTAAATTACTTGTATGCAGCATGTCTATTTATTTTTTGTATAAAATATTATTTGCAAAATTGAGACAGTCATTAAGATTTACTTATGAGCAAATATGAGAAAAAGTGTTTGCCCCTAATAATTTATCACATTTTAATGTTTCAGATCATGAAACAAGTTTAAATACATGTCAAAGTTAACATAAGTAAAGACATCATACAGTTTGAAAATGTTTATTATTATAATTTTTAAGTGAAAACAAAACTGCTTAGCCCTGTGTGAAAGTGTTTTTGCAGTCTGTATATATGTTAGTCACAAAATTGCTCATGACTAGTTGTGCTTGTTTTTTTAAGTAATGTTATATAAATATATATATATATATATATATATATATATATATATATATATATATATATATATATATATATATATATATATATTGTATAATTTATAATAAGTCTCCACTTCACTTCCTAATCTGCAATTGCCTCTCTGGATATACCACTAACTGTACTCAAAAAAAAAAAAAAAAAAAAATTACTAATACTTTACTTCTTAGACTTTACAGACCTGAAACTTGCCTATAGCACTTATTCATTGTTGCTCTTATAGTTGTGTAAATTGCTTCCTTGTCCTCATTTGTAAGTCGCTTTGGATAAAAGTGTCTGCTAAATGACTAAATGTAAATGTACCAAGCACCAACCATAATGTTTAGTATAGCATTAACACTCTTACTATACTCAATTAAAGTTTGGATGTGTGCCTTTCATTTTGAAAGCTTCTATGTCGATCTCACTATTTCTGTACATTTATTGCACAGTCCCTCATTGACCGAGATCATATGGTATGCTGTGTGCATGCAAGAAGAACAGGGAAAGCATAACTCACTATGACAATGTTGTTTCCAATTTACCACTGGTGTTGGATGAACTGTCATGAATCTAGATACATTTAGAGCACAGAAGTCCTTTTTTAGAAGACACTTGGCGCCTTTTTTGACAAAAAAAATAATAAACATTTTTTCAGAACAATTAACCCCTTTTGAATTATAGCATAACTGTTTCTGGACCATTTATAAGAAATAATAATAAAACATAAAAATCAATCAGTCAATCAATGATTAAAAATATATTAGTTAAAACAAGCAGAACTCATGAAGTGCAATTGTATGTAAGTAATATACTTAGACATTAAATATCCATCATTTCAAAAATGGTAATCATAAACAAAAAATAAATAACTGTAAAAAACACATAGCTAACATAACATAAATTAGACATCAAAATTAATGCTCACATACACACACAGTTATTTTTCTGTTAAATAGTTTTGTTTTATTTGTTATATTCATTTTGCATACAGTATTTTATCACTCATAGTTTCTATGTTGGTGAAATTGCTGGATCCACCATCATTTCGTTAGGTTCTTGTAACCCCATAATGACATTGCACTCTGGGATGTTGTTGTTGCTGGGCCAAGTTATGAAATGCACCAATATATCCAACATGAACCCATCGTATATCTTTAGAATCTAAAGTGCACAGATCTATCAATAACATGCTATCAGTAAATGATAGTAAAGTAAGGTGAACTGGTCATCTTCTCTCCTACAATAAATAGTCCTGCAGTTATCAGTTCTTTGCATCAGACAGACATTTGCGTACTGAATGGCACGAGACCGACTGATCAGAAAATAAGCATGAAACTCCTTTATTTTGAATTGTGCTGTGAATTCGTTTGACCTTTAACACCAGTTAGAAAAACAGAGGCTGAATTCGACGGATATGCCAGAAGGCCATCCTAGAGAAATCCATTACAGTGCAAAGGTACAGTTCAGCTTACTGGGAGATCTTAAAATGTCTTCACACTAAGCAGGTTTGGCTTGAATAAAATTAACTCCGGGCATATTGCTCTGCTAGTAGGGATAAGTATTGCTATCAGTTCTAGTGATTTGATTTTTTAATTAGATTAACATGATTTCAATTCAATTAGATTTAACCATATTTCATTTGAAATAGTGTATATAGAGTCACCGATTATTGTGGGGTCTGCTGTTGTGTTTTTTTTTCTTTTTTTCTTTTTGTAGACACAGTATTAGCTCTTGCAGGCACAACCTGCAAAAATCTGTGGTTTCTGTTGACCTCGTCTATATTATTACATTTAATTCTAATGTTTTTAAAATACTTTTCAAATTTCAGTAGGTGCTCCTTTAATGGGGTATATGCACACAAATTCTTCATTTCAGTCAGCCAGCCCCAGGGCTTCCGGTTAATTTTCATCCCATACAAAATCGCTGCGGTTAGGATCTGATTTCTTTAAAAAACAGCGATTTTCACTGCCTGGCTGAGATATGATATAAAACCGGTATCAGACCAAACAAGAAGCACTGCATCAAGTTTTATTTTTCTGTGCCATGTCTTTAAAATATGGAAATTAATTTTACCCTAGTATTATCAATGGAGTTTCTGCTAGCCTGCTGCTAATGATGGTGCCTGTGTGTAAACTGTCTTTTTATACTTTAACAACCAAATGGATGCTTAAGTCTATTTAACTGATTATATTTGAATTACATTACAACATTGATGCTGTAAAAGGAATCCATAAAACTGAAAATACTCACAAATTTTTTAATGAAAGTTCATCATTGGCTAAAAATACTAGCTGTACATATAGCCTATTAGCTACCATGACCTTCTGTCATGATTCTTTTTGTTTCACTTTAACCTTTTAACTTCCACTTCTTTGGTTTAATTGTGACACCACTCATTGCTAATTTTTCTATTATTATTTTTTTATTAAAGAGTTAAAGGCATAGTTCATCCAAAAATGAAAATGATCTCATTATATTCATCTGCTTTTCAATCTATTTGATTTAGTTTTTTTGTTAAACACAAAAGAAGATATTTTGAAGAATGCTGGTTGCTGGGACCAATCAACATCCATAGTTGGAAAAAAGATTGCAATGGAAGTCGATGGGTCCCAACAACCAGCATTTTCAAAATAACTTCTTTTGTATTAACCAGCCCCTATTATGGGTTGTTGAAAATGACCTTCCATGCAGTGTGCAACAACGCTCTAAGTAAAAGAAAACATTCAGCTGAGGTTTAAATCCGAAAGAGCACCTTGTTTAAAACTAACAATTTTTTAATAAAAGATTCGACTGATTCGTTTAAATTATTTTGTCTGTTTGTATTGATGTCGACAAGAAACAATACCAAATATGAAGTGCCAGATCGGGTAAACTGTAAATGCGCCTTTTCCTTCAGACAATAGCAGTGCAGGTGTGTGTGGGACTGATCAGGACTGAAGATAAGTGAACATTCTAGTGATTAATGCAGAAATCTACCCTGCAACGGGGGATTTGTCGGGCGTCTGTTAAAGGAAAGATCAGAAAAGACTTTTGATGTATGGGAGTCTTTTAGAGCTTACCGGGATCTTTACAGTACACGAATCAGTTCCTTCCTTCATTTCAAAAGTGTAAGTAAGTGCGATTAAAATGGTTGCCTACTTGTTTCCTCGAGCTTGCAAAATATGCATTTAATTGTGTTAGTGTTACTTGTACGCTGCTTGTACTGTATCTGGTCAACTCTTTATATTCTCATATCATGTCTAAAGCCATGCTAAAAATGCAAGGCGTGTCGCTGTCTTCACGGATTCAAATGTGTTTGTGAGCTCGCGATCCTCTGCTGTTTGTCGTTGCTATGGCCACCGTCAGCTGTTCCTACACGTGTGGCCGTCAAGTTTCGAAATAGTTCAGCTTTTGCCACTGTGTGGATTAATACTAAATGTTGTTGTTGTTTTTACTTATGGTTAGGAACATAGTAATAGGCTGGTGTTTAACTGCATTGCTTTGATGAACTCTTGCATTGGGCTCACAAATACACTCTGCACTACTTCAACAATGTTGATAAGCCGTGGTGGGCGTTTCTCTCTGTCTCGCGCTGAACACACTCGACCAATCACAATACACTGGGTCATCAGAACGCTGCCATTTGAACCTTTGAGCACACCAAGCAAGTATACAAGTTAAAAATGACAGTGTGATTGCTAAGTGAACTAAAAGAACCACAAACTACAAGTGTGAACAAATCTTTAAGATCTCCCAGAAGACTATCCATTTCCTTACTTTCTGTCCATGTTTAAAGCTTTGGTTCTGTTCCACTTACAAACTCAAACACATTTTTTACCACACATCCTTCGAGAAAGACATACGCATTTGGAGGTGTGCTTGTCCTCGTTATTATACAAAAATAGGCATTTCCAAACATATACAAGATAGTTGCTGCTCTTAAACAGATCTACGTCTGTGAATAGCATTCAGTAGATCTGGTCTCATTTAAGCACAGAGCACAGTGAACCGAGAAGGTTTCCTCTCAGCTGCTCCATAGAGATGCGTCAATTGCCATCGGAACTAATGGAGAGTTTGAAACGTTGGTGCAATAACCGCAGCGATCTAACAACTACATTGTAAGCACAGTCATTTCAGTAGAGGTCTCATTGCTGCCCTTGCCGTAGCCTACACAATCATTATCGTTGTACATTCTGGCCATTATCCTATGACTAAAGGTGTCTTTTTTATTTGAATGAGCAACATAAATTCATATTATAGTCAGTAAGCATTGAAGTGCATTGATAAAAAGTGCAAGTATAGATTCAGATGCATTCATTTCGAGAGGAGTAAATTGTTTTGCAACATGGCCCCCGGAATAGTCACTTTTAGAGGGCTTACAACAGAAGAACACTACAGCTGATGCCGTTTCTAACCTAAAAGATATATGCTTTCCTTTGAGAGTGTAAATCTAGGGGTTTCGCTATTTGGACAGGAAGGGGACGCATTCCTCATCTGCCCCTGTCTTGGGTTCAGACATGCTATTAGTTCCTCGATAAAGAGTTATTAATGCCTGTTGATTCAAGAAACAGGTCAGATCTCATTCACATATACAGAGACAGACAATTCTGTAGGAAGCACTAGTCTGGCACTGTTTGGCGCCATTTGAGGTCGTCACATTGCTTTCCTGAATTAAGTCCCGCAGGAAGGACTTGCTCACCTGATAGCCCCATCTTTCCATCATTAGTTACTGAGAAAAGTCTCTCTGTGATCCTGTCAACAGAGAAACAGCATCATTTATTGAGGTAAAAAAAAAACAAATCGACAAGATATGTGTGGAAGATATCCATTTCAAATGCATTATCCACAGTAACCTCTGATGGTGCCATCAGAACTTGGATAATACTTTATTGAAACCATAAGGCTTTACAGTAAAATGCAACTTGGCCATATGATGGCGAAAGTCTTCTCCGGAAATGCCGGCTGGGCGGTCAGCTCTAGCTGCTCTCGGATGAAGTGGGAGGCGCGGTGGAAGACGATCTGCGCCGGGAGACAGACTGCGAGCGCTCGTGGCTGTGTTTGTCGTATGGCTGGAGTTGCACCTCCAGGAAGTCCCGGTGTTGCTGGCTGATCACCTGACTGATGAGGCCCGGGAGTGCCTGTAAGTTGCTGAGCAAGGTCTCAAGTTTGGTCTCCAGCAGTGCAATCCTCTTTTCCATGTCCTCGCCTCGCTCGTTCAGGTCCGAGACCAGGTCGTACATGACGTTTTGAGTCTGAGATGAAGCGAGGGAGAAGTTAGAGTTAACAGACATTCGTACATGATCACTCCAACAGTCTGGTACAATAAGTCTAGTGCGGCGCGATCAATATTTATAAGACCTCTTTTATCATCTGACAATAAAAGATGACAAAATCAGTCATGTCACAGAGGACATGTCAAACCCAGCGGCATGTGGCAGGCGTTCTAAAAAAGGGCTCGATTGATGGATTGTCCTGATGAGAAATGAAGTGCGCCGTCCATATTTTTAGACATCTCAATTCCCAGTTCCGACGACATAAAAGGTCTTTCATGACATTGCATCATGCGCACAAACTTCAGACTCAGACGTCTAGCTACAAGCAACTCAGAGTACCTAACAAACAAAAAACAAGAACCTTGAACCTTGCAAAAAAACATGAACCTGTATTTTTTGCATTGTAATCAACTAAAAATACACACGTTCACTCGTGTTTGGCCATACCAGGAATTTGACCAATGCTTTCTCAATATCGGTAGAAATATTGTTAAAATTAATGTTAAAAGTATTGATCAGCCAAAACTGAAAATTCTGACATCATTTACTCACCCTTTACTCTTCACAAACATGTTTGAGTTTCTTCTGTTGAACACAAAATAAGATATTTTGAATGCTGAAAACCATTGACCTCTATAGTATTTATTTTTCCTACTACGGATGTCAGTGGTTACAGGTTTCCAGCATACTTCAGTTAATATGAACCTTATGAACCATAATTCCTTAAACTGGTTTAGAGTAAGTAAAGGATGAGTAAATGATGACAGAATTAACAGTTCAACAATGATACAGGCCTGTAGCCAGCCTATTAAAAGGGGTGTTTTTCTTCTGAAAAAGTGGACCTTTTTGCAGATATTTGCTTTATTTTCTATTTAATTGTGCATTTTATCAACATTTTAAGAACTAATCTTTGCTGGATCAGCTTGTCAGATGGTGTTCATAACCACACCTTTTTGATGCACCCAATATTTTTACTACAATTTTGTCAAAGTACTCACCATACTATTTTACTATGAAGTATTTATTTATAAACTTGTATTTAAACTGTAAGTTAATCAAGTTTGATAAATATTGTTATGAGATTGGCATAAAAAAATATATATAAAAAAATATTTTTAAATACAAATTTATTATCATCCATCATTTAAAAAAAGAAATCTGGTAAAACTTGTTTTAAAATAAAACTGTAGCATGTGGGCAAATATAAATTGGCCAGCTCATTAAACTTTCCTCAGTGAGAGTTTGGCCACTTCATTAAAATTATAATGAAAAATTAGAACCTAAAGTTCATTGACAAACTTTAATGTGACAAACTTTTGACTGCACTAGGACCAGGAATGGCAGTTGGCAGGAAGCACAGTCATTGCTAAGGTGTTGCTAGGCAGTTGCTAAAATGTTTATGGCATTGCTAGGTGGTTGCTAAGCAGTTGCTCAATGGCAACGCTCGTGTCCATGTTTGATCAAATGCTAATACCAAGTAGGCATTCCTAGCATATCTTTTTGCTCTTAGATAATCATTAATAGCATGTAGCTAATCGTTATTAGCACTTGGCTTTTCATTGTTACCATGCATAGTACACAGGAAGTCCCATTTGCTAGCATGAGTCAAACGAGCCAATACCCAGGCCCCTACGATGTTCTGATGTAGAGATATTGCTGTATTTAAATGGTTGCTAGGTTAGCCTGTTTTATTGCTATGGAGACAATTGGCAGCTTAGTGATGATACATCAAAGCCTCTTGCCAATATGAGTGATATAAATCAACCCCGATGTCTCTAAGAATTGGACTTGGACATTATGTAAAAATGGCTTGCTATATTTTATTGAAAACATAATGCTTAATAAGTGTGAAAGGGACACATGCAAAAATGGCTTGCCATATCAATAAAAAATATGCAGTTTAAGTCATGGAGTTATGGCTTGACTTATTTTGAGAAAAATAATGCGAAAAAATTATTTAGTGGAAAACTAAAGCCTTTAAGACAAATGTAAATATGTTGGCTTTGGAAAGCCAACATAATGCTATATGAGTGTGTGTATGAGTGTGTGTGTGTGTGAATGTGTGTGTGGATCTCCCCCAGAGATAGGTTGCGGCTTGAAGGGCATCCGCTGTGTAAAAACTTGCTGGATAAGTTGGCGGTTCATTATGCTGTGGCGACCCCGGATTAATAAAGGGACTAAGCCGACAAGAAAATGAATGAATGAATGTTATATGTTGCATTTTAAAAATCCAAGCATAAAAAAATTATACAAGCCCCAAATTTGGCCAAAAGTTGTGTTCTGCATTAGATTTTATCTGATGAACCTGAAAAGATATAGCAACAAAATCTAATGCAGAACACAACTTTTGGCCAAATTTGGGGCTTGTATAATTTTTTTTATGCCTGGATTATTAAAATGTAATATATAACATATTTTTTTTATTAAAAATTATAAATCTTACCGGCATGAGGAGATATAGCATAAATCTTAAATGAAGAAGGCACATTTTGACCAGATTTGGGTCTTGTTGCATGAACGTCTAGGAGGACATACGTTTGGTTTCGAGGACAGAATAGTATAGCAATATGTTGGCTTTCTAAAGGAGGGGGGATGGGGGGCAGGGCATGGGTCTTTCGAACAAATAAGCAAACACTGGTGAAAATATTGATAAAACTGTTGTCTAATAGCTTATTAGCCCCAGCACATTATTAATGCACTTTTAAAAAAGATTGAGTCTAAATGACATTATTTGGTTGAAAAAAGCATTTAAAAATACATTTTAAACTTAATTTACATGAAAAGAGCATGTTATTATTGCAGTAGTTACATTTAAATATATGTGGTGCAACTGCGCTTATGAATGACCTGAGTTTGATTCCATCTCGCAGCAGTCCTTTGTGAATCTCACTCCCCTTTCTCTACACCACCTTTCCTGACATATCTCTATTGTTTTATCTGCAAAAGCTTTAAAAAGCCATAGCATAAGCTGCATGGTACAAGTTAAGCAATGTGTTAAGTTTAATACTTAATGCTTAATAAGTTTAACGGCTTAAAGATGTATCCCAGTCCCTTACCTTAAGTATTATAAGATATAAGAAATTCACTACATACATTTCTGAAGAGAAGCTTACAGATATTATCCTAGAAACTAATAAAAGAACTTGGAAACAAATCACAGGTGTGGGACCTGAAGTTGCAGACGCACCATATCAGGGCCGGCGGGCTGTCTGAAGGTTGCAGAAACACCGCAGCTGCTTAAGTTATTTTAAGCTGCATTACAGGATTCATTGCCACTGGGAGCAGCTGCTGCCATGATTAATGTAATACCGCCCTCTGATGGCGAGAGGCAATTACGGCAATGATAAAAGGAGGCAGAAACCAGTATGAGTCATATTATATCACGCTCCGCCTCAATGTCACCCTCTCCAGTTTCTTTGGGAGGTGTGGGACAGGAGGGTAATTGGGTAACTCTAACTGATCACTCTCACGGAAAAGCCCAGACAAAGGTAGCTGGGATATGACCACTGCGGATGTTTGAATGTCACAGCTTGGACGCGTGAGCAAGTGTGCAGGAGCCGTTCGAGCTGACTCATCAGATCCAGAGTGTATCCCTTTCCCAGGTTGCTGTGGGTTTTGCAGAGTCAGACTGGCAGTGTGCCTGGTGTTCCCCAAGGCTCGCTCTTAGGTCCGTCTTAAAAACAACCATAAGCAAATGCAAATGCAGCGATTCAAATTTAGCAGGCTATTTTAACATCTCAGGTAGCCCATCAGTTTTTTTCTCTCTCTCTCTTTCTTCTAAGGAGATGAAAGCTTTTCTGGACCATTAAGCAGCATGATGAATAGTGCATAGCAAGAGGGAAATAAATAACAAAAGCGAACGTGAGGACGTTTCGTAAAAGGGAAAAATAATAAATGAACTGACATCAACCATATGCTTTGCTATTCTTGCTGAGGAAACCTTATACAGAAACAATATTTTAAAAGAAACAAACAAGCAAATCAAATGTTATATATATATATACCGTCTGTTCATTTGACACCTGTAGACTTAGAATATTTGAGTATCACGCTAAACACAAATGGACCTCCTGCATCATGCATTAATCAAACATTCACTCAAAGGTGTCTTACCTTTGCAAGGTCCACTAGAGAGTTTGCTTGGTCATTCAGCTTGCGTTGCTCCATTTTTACACTTCTTAATCTGAACACAAGACCATTCAGAGCCCAATAGTGGCAAGCGGTCAGTACAAAAATCGATTGACAGGATCTCCATTCACAAGCCACACATTTTGGAAGCACTCCTAGGACATGCACAAGACATGAGGAGAGAATGCAGGGATTGAAGGAGGACTGAGGCGCATGCAAGTCAAAAATTCAGTGGGAAGAGGCTGTGGTCGCTTTCGAAAGGATTTTCTTTTCCATACTTCTTACAGGAACAAAGCAAGGCTGTGACAACATCTGATGGGAATTATGGAAATACAACGACCTTGTCAGTGCATAAAAAGTACACCAGGGGCACATCTGATGTGAGATTTTCTGTAAACTAATGAATGATTTATATGTATTATAAGATATTCACAGGACAGTCCAGTCTGCTTCATTTTGAAATGATCATGTTTATGGTAATTCACCTAAAGTAGAAGTCCATGGGGTCAGGCATTAAAGAGTACTGGTCAAAGATACTACTTGACTAAAACTGTACTACAGTTTCAAATGTTCTAATAGAATTTGTCTCATTTCATTTATTCTTGAACACTTATGTATAGAAAACAATTGCTAAAATCCATTGAGTGTTTCAAAAAGTTTTCAACATTTAAAATATAATACAATTTAGTATGATCCCTAAACTTTTTTAAAGACTACAGATCACAATAAGCATGCAATGAAACATTGTTTAACCCATATTCCAGCCTTTTATTTTTATTTTAAAGTAATTAAAAAATCATAAAATTTCCTTCTTAGATATTTTAAGCATAATATGAATGTAATCAAATGCAGACACCAAATTGGGACAAATGTGTTCCAATTTCCATAAAATTTCAATTTATTTCACAAAAAAAAAAAAAAATCAAAATAGAAATAGAATTTCCAAAACACTCGAAATAACAGTAAAAAAGATAGACATAACTTTTACTGAACCTTCAGATCTACAAATAAATGATTAAGCGCTTTAACTGTATTTTTGTCTTGTTTTATACTCAAAAATATCTACAAATCTAAACGAAAATATATGCAAGAGAATATGTGTAAGAGAAGCAAAATTATTTAAAAAGTGTTGTTTCCTGAAAAAACGATAAAACAGCAGTAAATTTTATATTAAAAAACAATAAATTAAAAATGTGAAATAATTTATTAACTTAATAATAATAATAATAAAATTTAATTTATCTCCCATTGAAGGATACTTTTTCTTGTTGAATATTGAATAATTATGAATTGAATGTTGTACTATTGAATCAATTTTGATCAGTTTCCCAGACAACACCTCTGCTAAATGTATCTTGATTTAAGTCTAGATTTTTGTGGTTGAAACCCCAAAAGTTAAAATAAGTCATGAAGAAGCCCAGACAGCATCTGCGGATATTTATTTGCTATTTCTGCAAAGAATTTTGTAAAAAAAAAAAAAAAATCTGCGGATTTATGCAGAATGATTTTGGGAGCATCATCACTAAAAACGTAATGTATGAAATAAATAAAATAAAAAAATAAATTAATGTATTTAATGTTTACAATGCAACTCCTTTTAGATCTACTTATTTGGTAAACAAAGCAAGTCTCTCATATAATAAATCTACTAAAAGACAGAAAATATTACTGTACAAGCTACAGTTACTATTAATTAGTTAATAATATTACTGAAATGAGTTTAAAAACTGTATAGAAATAAATACTTTTGAACAAATGAATTAATAGACTCAATTATGGGCCAAAAGCAGAAATCTGCTGCCTAGCTAAGACTTTATGAACTGATTTAAGGCCAGTGCTCTCTTTTTAAGGTCTTAAACTGTGTAAAGCCAAATTAGAATCACCAGTAATACTTTACGTACAACCAACAAACCATGTAAAGCTCAGATTTATAAACTTCATAGCTCATTCATTTATTTATTTTTTTATTAAATTGCTTAACATACATAAGCTTCCTACTATGCCATTAAATGTCTTGCCCCATAGACATCCACTGTGAGCACATTGCTATTAAAGCCAAATTATTTTCCTAATACCAGCATGTCCGTGGAGTGTTACTTACTCTAAACCTGCAGCATTGCTTTATAATAACGACTCTGAATCCTGTGGCGTATTGGTTTTGCTATATTCTTAACTGATCACCTTGTACTGTGAGGAAGCAGATATAAAGAGCCTCTATGAAGTGAATACTCCATCACACAGCTTTGTAAACCAACCCTCTCACTCAAATCCATACCGCGAGCATTAATTATTCATCTGCTCCATTTAATTAGGTTTCTGAGGAACTACTTATCTTCACTATACATTAAGTGTTTTCCTCTGTGGTCCTCAAGGGCGCTGCGAACAGCCGACACACATCCATTGTGTTTTGCGTTTGTGGAAGCACAAGGGAGAAACACAAGAAAGCCGTATTCTGTTCTTGGGCAAAGGGATTGAATCACAGCCGGAGAAATATTTGTAATCATTGCTGAAAAAGAGCAACATTTAGTAATTCACTGTGGAGACTGACGCATTAACAGGGTTTCACCAAGTTAAATCTAAGAGATTTTAAGACATTTTTAAGACCATTATGAAAGACATTTTAGATTTATACAGGGCTAAATGATACCCCAGTTGGAAAAGATTTAAACTTGAAAAAATTCAAAAAATTATTATTATAACCTAACTAAAGTGATAATAACTTAATAATACAATTATAAAAATAATAATAATAATAATGATAATAATAATAATTTAATAATAAATGTAGTGAACAAATGGAGAACTTTTAAGCAAATGTTATTGTAAGAAAAGAATTTTTACTAGCTATTTTGAAATAAAAAAAATTTAATTAAATTGAGACTAGGATTGTTGGTGATTATATGGGTGTTAATAGTCAGATTTGGTAGCTAAACATGAACAAGGAAATTAACACCTGTTAAAAACTTTTTAAGACCTACAAGACAATATTTCGGTAGTTTTTTAAAGACTTTTTAAGGCCTAAAATTAATCTTTTGAGATTTAAAATATTTAAAGACTTTTTAATACCCCGTGGAAACCCTGATGAAGGCAAGACACTGCAAGTGAATAGTGAAATTAAATAAATAAACTGAAAATAAATGAACCCCAGTTGATTGATTATGGATGAATTAAAAAACTGTATTATACGATTATTAAAAGGTTTAAATACACAAATAAGGAATTTTGTTATTAAATATGTGCTAATTTGCATTGATGTCTAGCACAAAAATGATATTTTTTTGTCATATTAGTGCAAGGTTTTTGCTATTCTAATCTCTTATTACTCCATAATTCATAAAATATGGTATACAATAAAATGTTGAATATAGTTAGGCATATTATGTATGAAAAAATCTCTCTGTTAAAACCTTTTACTGTGAAGTTTGCTGTTATATATATATATATGTATGTATGTATATATATATATATATATATATATATATATATATATATATATATATATATATATATATATATATATATATAACATAATAGCTTTTAAATATACTGTATACAGTTGAAGACAGAATTATTAGCCCCCCTTTAATTTTTTTTTCTTTTTTAAATATTTCCCAAATTATGTTGAACAGGGTAAGGAAATTTTCACAGTATGTCTGATAATATTTTTACTTCTGTAGAAAGTCTTATTTGTTTTATTTCGGCAATAATAAAAGAAGTTTGAAAATTTTTAAAGCCATTTTAAGGTCAAAATTATTAGCCCCTTTAAGTTATATATATTTTTTGAACAGTCTACAGAACTTGCCTAATTACTCTAACCTGCCTAGTTAACCTAATTAACCTAGTTAAGCCTTTAAATGTCACTTTATGCTGTATAAAAGTGTTTTGAAAAATATCTAGTCAAATATAGATCTTCTCTCCGTTAAACAGAAATTGGGAAAAAAATAAACAGGACTTTAATAATTCTGACTTTAACTGTATATTATTATTGAAATTTTCTTACACAAACTAATAAAGTGTGACAAAATTAACACTTGATGAGTCAGTTCACCCAAAAACTTTAAATTCTGTCATTAATTACTCTTAATCTGTTTTTTAATATATTATTTGGGAGTCCAGAAAAGCACCAAGAACATTGTCAAAACACTTCACGTGTCATCCGCAGTTCAATCGTAACTTTATGAAGAATACTTTGGAGAGTATAAAGGAAGATCAGAGAGCTCTCACATCCAAATTATACCAATTTGTGTTCTTTTTTGTGTTCATTAATACTTAATGAAAAGCCAAAAAACCTGGGAAACAACAGGTGGATAATAAAAATTGTGTTTTGCCTGCAGTGTCTCACATTAAGCTCTGAGGTAAAACTCTAATTAAACGGGGGGTTGATGACACAGATCAGATAGGAGAGAGTATGGACGGCTCCAGGGACCTGGATGCTGATTGGCCCAGATGCAGAGATTTCCATCCTGTAGCTGCATGGAGTTTGGGACGTGGATACATAAGGCTGTAGTTTTGCTTTCAACCACCAGAGGGCGCAGAGAAATAGCACCACACAGCAGAATAGAAAAACACATCCAGAGTCTGTTCAAAGACTAGAGGTTGAATCACACTGAACACACGTGCAGGTCAGATTTGACCAACAAGCCAAAAGAAAAAATCAAGAATTATATTTTGTGTATGGAAAACTGACATTTCAGGACCATTAATATGGTTTGGAATGACATTTTGCAACATTTAAGCACTTTTTACTGTTCTCATCAATGTCACAACGTTAAAACAGAATAAATGTTTAAATGTTATATACAGATAAAGTCAGAATTATTAGCCCCCCTGTTTATTTTTTTCCCAATTTCTGTTTAACGGAGAGAAGATTTTTCAACACATTTCTAATCATAACAGTTGTATATATTTTTTGATAATATAAAATAGTTTTACTGTAATTGTAGCTATTTGCATAAACAATTTCTGTATAAATCTGCATAAATTAAGAGGAGCAATGTGTCAATCAGCAATTCTTAACATTACATTTGTTAATTAACTTGTAATATAAAATAAGTT